ACATTCCCTGCCCACCTCACCCACAGCTTTGGGGTCACCCTACTGTCCCCACCCCAAGGAGCCAAGTGCGGTGCTTCTGTCCTTTTTGGGGCCATTTTCTAAGTGTTTGAACCTCAAACATTTCTTTCCCTGCCTCAGTTTCTCTCTGCCTCGCAATCTCGACCTGGGAGACGAGAAGAATAAGGATTTCCTTTGTGATGTCCTCACTCGTGCCCCTCCAGCCCCCCCAGCAATGTCAGACTCCAGTATTTAAACCATAAATCAGTTCTTCACCCCATTCCTGGTGTTTTCCGCCCTCTCCAGGTGCTGATCCCTGGAGTTTTCATCTCCCAGGGAACAAACTTCCCCCCTTTCCCTGTGCCGGCCCCTTCCCTTGCAAACATCCCAGTTATTTTATTATCATTTCGTGCCCACGAGGGAAAAATATTTGAATTTTTTTTTTACCCCCCACTTTCCCTCCCTTTCTCCCCGCCTTCTCCATTCCCTCAATTCCTGCCCAGACCGTGCGGGGTGGCATCACCTGCCCCGTTCTCCCCTTTCCATCCATCCATCCGTCCATCCATCCCAGCTCCGGGGAGGAACGGGAGCTGGAAGGGGGGACACGCCTGGAGCAGCCCCTCCCCTCCTGCCTCACAACTCCTTCTTTTCCCGAGCCTGTGGAAGTTTCTCCGCCGCGGATTCCCGCTGGAGGGACCCCGGGACGCTCCCGGGGGAAGAAGCCGGCGCGGGGCGGCTTTGCCCGGGTGAGCAGCGGGGTCTGTCCGTCTCTGTCTGTCTGTCTGTCCGGCCGGCCGCGGTTCGGCTCCCGTGGGGGTTTTATCCCCACTTTTCGGTCTCAGGTTGCAGTTAAAGAACTGCGGAGGGAGAGGGGCCGGGGGAGGAGGAGGAAGAGGAAGAGGAAGAAGCAGCTTCCAAGGGGGAGGACCAGGAGGAAGAAGAGGAGGATGAGGAGCAGCAGCTCCGGATGAGGAAACTGAGGAGGGAGAGGAGGATGAGGAGGCAGCTCCCGATAGAGGAGGAGGAGGAAGAAAAGGAAGTTGAGGAGGGAGCAGCTTCCTGATGGGGAGGAAGAGGAGGCAGCAGCTCCCAGGGGAGGGGATGAAGAAGATGAGGAGGAAGAGGAGACAGCAGCTCCCAGGGGAGTGGATGAGGAAGATGAGGAGGAAGAGGAGACAGCAGCTCCCAGGGGAGTGGATGAGGAAGATGAGGAGGAAGAAGAGGATGAGGATGATAAGGAGGCAGCAGCTCCGTGATGGGGAGGAAGAGGAGGATGAGAAGGAAGCAGCTCTGGAAGAGGAGGATGAGGAAGCGCCACATGGGGAGATTGAGGAGGAAGAAGAGGTTGAGGAGCAGCTCCCAAAGGGGAGGATGAGGAGGTGAAGAGGTTGAGGAGCAGCAGCTCCCAAAGGGGAAGATGAAGAGGATGAGGAGGCAGAAGAGGTTGAGGAGCAGCAGCTCCCAAAGGGGAGGATGAGGAAGATGAGGGGGCAGAAGCAGCCCCAGCTTCCCCCTGCACTGCACAATTTGAACCCCTTGGTGCTGTCCCAGAAGGGTCTGAGGTGCCCCAAACCTGTTTGAAATTGGAATTTTTTGGGATGACTTTTCACTTCCCCTGGCAGGACGTGGCTCAGGGGCATCAGGGAGAGATTGGGAAGGAGATTCCAGAGCATCATGGAATATCCAGGTTTGGAAGGGACCCACAAGGGTCCTGCCCAGGACAATCCCAAAATCCCAGCATGTGCCTGAGGGCATTGCCCAAATGCTCCTTGAGCTCTCTTGGCATTGCCAGAGTTTTGTTTTGGGGGTTATTGAGGAATTTTTGGGAAGAAGCCAATGCCTGTTGCTCCTTTGGTGCATCCGGGGGGTCTGAGCATGGAGCGGGCAGAATCTGATCCCAGAAAACTTCCCACCAGTGGGATAAGGAGATGGATTTTTCCCTCTGATCTTGTTCCATGCGAGGTGGCTGAAAGCAAGTCCTGGATCAAAGCTGTGACGACAACGGAGCAAATCCATTGGGAATGATTATAATTCCAACAAAATGGATATTTCAGTGTGCTGAAGTGGGAGAAGCAGCAGGAAGGGTTGGTACGGGGCCATTTCTGGCTGGGGAAGTCATAAATTCCAGGGTGGAATTCTTCCCTGCTGCAGGTTTGATTGTGGCAGTGGATGCAGGAATTGCGTGGCTGGAATCCACACCCCGTTGTGGATTTGCTCCTTTCCTGATCCAGCTTTTCATGCCCCAGGAGCACCAGTGACTGAGATCCACTCACAATTCCCAGCTTCCCCTGTGGATCCTGGAATGATGTTCCACAAATTTTATTTTGATTCACAATTATTATTGTTTTGGCCACTCTCCATCATGGGCCCAAAATAACGGGAATTCTGCTGCAATCAGGAATTGCAGGGAAGTGTTTTCCTCCAGGGAGAGGAGGAAATCAACCACCAGGAGATGATTCCTGGAATGTCTCAAAAGTCTTTGAGGCTCTTTGCGGTTTGAATTTGCAGGAATCGCTCCCTGTGTCTGGTCACTGCACGTGGGAGGAGGAACAGGAAAGGGACAGGGAATGTTTGGGCTTCCCAATTTTCCTGCAGCTCCAAGGACCCTCAGGAAAGGCTGGAGGTTGTGTTTGGAGGGTTGGCACAGGGATATGGGGGCACATCCTGGATATTTTGGGTGTCATTCGGGCCGTTTTGGTTGTCACTGGATTTTTGGGATCACTGGAATTTTGGGATCATGAGGGTTTTGGGTGTCATTTGGTCCTTTTTGGGATCACCCTGTTTTCCCAAGCATGGCTTGTCTGGGAATGGGAAAACCCGGGGGAGCAGGAGATGGATGGATGGATGGATGGATGGATGGATGGATGGATGGATGGATGGAGATGGATGGATGGATGGATGGATGGATGGATGGATGGAGATGGATGGAGATGGACGGATGGATGATGGATGGACGGACAGATGGATGGATGGATGGACAGATGGAGTGTGACTCTTTGGGGTTTGTGGTGCCAAAGCTGTGGGATGTTCCCACCTCAGGCCTCACCTTCCTGTGGAATTAAGAATTAATAATTAAATTAATGGGAAAAGTCCAAGATTTGGGTTCAGATCCTTGGCTCCAGCTCAGGGACTGGGGGATCTTTCCCTGACTGGGCAGGGGGCGCCTCTGGATCAGCCTCTCCCATTCCCTGCCCATAAATCAGGAAATCACGGCAGGGTTTGTGTTGGAAGGGATTTTAAACCCGTCCAATTCCTACCTGGCCATGGGGCGTTGGATGGGCTTGGGTCAGGAGACGGGAATGTGGAAATTCCATGCCCAAGCTCTCCTTGCTGGCTCCTTCCATGTCCTTATTCCAGCAAAAGGGAATCTGGGAGCAGGGAGCAGATTCCTGCTGGGAGAATTTCTCCTGCCCCAAACCCAGGAGGCTCCCAGGGGATGCAGAACCTTTGGGATCTTTGTTCCCTTTGTCCCAGTTCCTGCTCCCCTCAGGAGCACTTGGAAATGTGAATAACCTGGAAAAGTTCCAGCCGGAGGAACCGGAGCGGTGCAGCCCTGGCTGCCAGCCAGGCACTCAATCTCTTTATCCATCACTTTCCAACCTTTTTTTTCCCCCCTTTTTTTAACCCCTACCTCCTTCAAATCCAATGATTTTCCCACAAATCCCCACCTCTCCTTGGCCATGAATCCTTCTTCCCTGGAGATATTCCCTCTTTGGGAGTGCCTAATCCCATTCCACCTTTTTTAAGAGAAAAAACAGCTGAACAAGCGTCACCCCCTGGATGCCCCACGTGGCAGCAGGGTGACAAAACTGCAAATATCCCGTTCTTTGTTCCATTAATCCGTCTGCTGAGCGGTGATTCCCAGCAAAATTCCCCTTTGGAGACACCCACCCCAAACCTTCACCCCTCTCCTGGGATTTCCTGCAGCAATTTGATCTCGGGGACCCCTCCTTTGCTGTTTGCAGCACCTGCATGGGCAAATCCAACGTTTTTTCCCCTCAAATTGTGCTTCTTGGAGAGGGAGGAAGGTTCTGCCTGGAGATGATCTTCCCAAGAAACACCCGACCGGAATTTCCTGCTTGGAAAAGCCTCTAAATTTAGCTTTAAAAAGGTGTTTTTAACATGAAAATCTGATTTCTGGGGAGTCACCACGGAGCGGGAAAAAGGAGAGGAGGGTCTGGATGTCATTCCCAGGACTTACCAGGTGTTTTCCTGGGTGCTTCCAAGCTGAAATCCTCCATCCCAAACACCTGGAACATTCCTTGTCACAGGAATCTTAGACAGACTCCTTATTCTTGTTAATCCCTGGTGTTAATTGGGATGGAATCCCTGGAAAAGAGCGAAGCTGGATGCAGCCATTGAGATTTTTATTTTTTTCCCCAAATCCATAATTTCCACCTTGGAAGTTGTCCATGCTTCTGTGGGAACAGGTGAGGCACAGAGCAGGAGAACTTCTGATTGCCCATTAAAAAAAAGAATAAAATTCCTTTTGGCAGGAATTCTGCCAGAATTGGCAGGCATTCCCTGATCCACAGGGAGAATTCCATGTTTTCCAGAGGGGGAATTCTGCAGCAGTTTGGGGAAAACATTGAACCACCAGCAATAATCAAAATTCCAGACTCCTCTGGCATGGTGGGCTGGATCCTCAAGGAAGTTCATCCTGGATTTAGGAGCCTGGAGACAGGGTTGGATGCAGATGATTCCTGATTTTCCTGGAATTTTCTCCCAGATTAATTGAAGTGGGAATTTCTCCTGCTTTTATCCCACCACCAATATTCCCATTTGGATTTCATTGCCTCAGGTGGATGTTGGGGAAGGAGGGGCAAAGCTGAACTCTCAGCATTAGCGAAGAAATGGAGGAATTCAAGGATTTATGGATTTTAATCCAAATTTTCCAGGCCAAGAGGAGCCTTTTTAGCTGGAGGAAAGCTTTTCTTGGCACTGAGGGTAGGTGGGAGCGTCACCCTCAGGTGGCCCCAGCTCCAACCTCTTTCCTTCTGCAGGCGAGGGACTCTCCAGGCTCTGTGCTGACTTCCAGGAATTTCCAGGAGCTGCTTCCCGAGGGAAATGTTGTGTGTCCTGATCCTTGTCCTGGCGGTGGCCACGGGGCCGTTCCAAGCTGGGGCTGTTCATGAAGGTGAGTGACCAGCGACACCTGGGTCACCACGGGTGCAGCACCCGGGACACTTTGGGGAGGAAAATCCATTTTCCAAGGAGATTTTCCTGCTCCTGGCATGGATTCACACATGAATCTGTCGGGGTGGATCTCTGGTGCTTTTAATTCCTGCAGAGGATCCTCTTAGGTTGGGATTATTTGGATAACGGAGCACCTCCAAAGGAATTCAGGGCCTGAGTTCCTGCTCTGGGATTTATGGAGAAATCAGGGCTCTGCTCCAGAGAAAAAATGGGAGAAAGGGAAAACAAATCCCATCCTGATTCCTCCTCTGAATTCCAAGATGTGGTTCCAGCCACCACACAGGGAGAGGAAAAACCTCAAGGAAGCCTTGAATCCTTCTGCTTTTTAGGGAGCCGGGATGGCACAAGGATTCACCTCCCTAGCTCCATGCAAGCCCACGGAGAGCTTTTGGGGATGAAGGGCTGGATCCAAAAATCAGCAGGAAAAATAATTCCAGGGAAGAGCCTCATGGATGACCCAGGGTGTATTTTTGGTCCCAGGGGTTATCCTTGAGAATTTCCTCCAGAGCGAATCCAGAGCTCCCAGGATTGTCCCAGGCTGGGTGGGATCCTCCTTTTTCCCAAAAACCCCCAGGTCTGGAGGTGTAAATCCATCGAAATCCATGAAATTCAACAAGGGGTTAATGGAACCTTCAGCATCAGCTCGGAAATTAACTCAATTAAGCTGCTGTCCATCAATTAACCAATAAACTCGACTCTAATGCTGTTTAATTCTGAGCTGGGAGCGGGGCGATAAATCTGCGTTGGGAGATGTCTCTGGCAAAGCCTTGATGGATGGGACGGGATCGTTCCGGAGGTGCACGGAAAATTCCAAATCCAGTCCTATCCCGCTGTGATTAATAGAGCTGTCTGAGGTGGGATTTTCTCTGGAAGGTACCAATCCAAATATCTTTAACATCCCACATTTCCCAGGACAGCTCCAGGTGCCTGATCCAAGCAGGAATTATGAGGTTTTGGGAATTTTTTTGCCAAAAAAAAAATAAAAGGAAAGGCCCCAGAATGGGCTGGGATTGTCACTTTATGGGGAAAAGGGCAACATCCCCTCCTTTGGAATCCCAGATTTGTTGTTTTTCTCCTCGTTGTCCCTGAATGCAAATGAGGGTGGGGTGAGGAAGAGTCTCAAAAACCAGGATGGGTGGAAGAAGCTCTCTGGGAATTTGGGATGAGCGTGAGGCAGCAAAGACCCCTCTGATACCAATTTTGAGGATGTTTTCCAAATCAGGGCCAAGAAATCGGGGAAACCTGAACTTCCTGGATTAGCTCCAAGAGGTGGGTGGTTCTGGAATTTGTTGGGAATTTCTTGTGGGAATACAGGGTGTGGTTACCTTGGTGAGCTGCTGAAGGATTTCCACCAGTCCTAAGGATGGAGATCAGAACTGGGATTTGCTTCCCTCTGTCTTTCTGGGGGAACAGGGACATCAAAACCCCAAGGGCGAGGAAAAGGAATAGATCCAAAATAAAAGCAGCAGCTGGGAAAGGAGTTCATGGTGATCCATGAGCTGCTGAGCTGCTCCCAAACACCCCAGACAGGGAGGTCTCTGGGAAGGAGAATTGAAGTAATTGTCTCCTATTTTTCTCAAGGAAAAGTTGTTCATATCCCAAATTTAACCCAAAAGATCCAATCCCTACTTTTCTGCAGTAAACAGAGTTGTGTTGGGAAGAACTCAGTCTCAGGAGGCAAAAAGAAGGATGAAAACCCAAAAATCCTTGGATAACATCCATCCACAGCTGGAAAATGATCCTTCTCCAATCAAAGAGGATTGATCAGGGACACAGCAATGAAGGACAGCACAAAACCCAAATATTCCCAAGCCCTTTGGGGATCCTGCTGGTAGGAATGGGATAAGAATCCAGGGAATTGAAGAGGTCAGGCTAGAATAGGTTTTTCATGTGAATCAGAATCCTGGGAAACACACCCAGCTCCTCTCCCTGGAAACCAGGACAGATTCTCCAGCCTGGTTGGAGGGGCTCCAGAGCTGCTGGTGAAAGTCAAGGCTGGGTAAAATCCAAAATTACACAAAATGGGGAAAAAAATTAAAAAGGGACATTTACAAATAATAATAATATAAACATTATTTATTATTATTATTTTTATTTATTTATTTATTTATTTATTTTGTACAAATATAATAATAAACAGGTTGAACCCAATCCTGGCGAGGAAGGTTTAAACCCCCTCCTCCAGCAAGGTCTGGAATAAATTCCTGCAAGGGAGAGAAATTCCAAGAAAAATACAAATTTCCCATATCCCTCGCAGAGTCTTCATGAGTTTAAGCATCCCTAAAAGTCACCAAATTCCTGTCCATTAAATGGATTTATGGAATGCCTAAAAAATACGGAGTTCCCCGATGGGAGGGAACACTGGGAAGGGAAAAATGCTTTGCTGTTGGTTCAGGGAATTTCCCTGTACTCCTGTCCGTTCCCTGCCATCAGAGCTGTCGTGGAAAAAGCTTGGAAAAACACTCCAATTGTTCATTCTTTGCAGAAAATCCTGCTCATGCCCAGGGTTGGGTGGTCCCACATCTCCATTGGTGTCCCTGGTATGAATCCCAGCATGGTGGATGGGATGGCAGAGCTGCCACATTCCCAAATTTCAGTCACAGGTGGCTCAGGGAATGTGGGATCCCCAGGTTTGGGATTCCACCCTGGAATTCCCTTTTCTCCAGAGTGTCCTACACACCCAATGCTTTGATGGAGCTGGGGTTTGGGGTTTGTGCTGAAAATCATGGAATGGCTGGAGTTGGAAGGGGCCTTTTAAAGATGATTTAGTCCAATCCTTCCATGGACCTTCCACTATCCCAGGTCATCCTGGCCTTGGACACTTCCCAGGATGGAGCATCTCTGGATGAGAAACTTCTCCTGGGTTGGAACATCCAAATGAGGAATTAGTAGGAAATTACGGCGAGCACAACACCTGTTACTCTGGGAAGCACCTAAACATGGCGTCTCCATCCCCGTCCCTTCAGAATCCTGGGAATTCAGGATCCTGGGGGGTTTTCCTCCTTCCATGGTGTGTGATGAGCCTCCCTGTCCCTCTTGTCCCATCCCAGCCTGCAGGACAGCAGAGGTGGCCAATGTTCTGTTCCTCGTGGGGCAGACAGAAGGTGCAGGGAAGGAGAGCTCCCGGCTGCTCCAGGATTTCATTGGGAGTGTGGCCAGATCCTTCGAGAACACAGAGACGGGAAGAGGAGGCATCCGGCTGGGCCTGGCTCTGTATGGGGAGACACCAAGGTGGGTCTGACCATCCTCCTCCAGCCACTCCTGGATTCCTGGAATCCAGCTGATGGATGAAGAGCTTCCGCAGCTCTGGGGAACCTCTGAGCAAGAGCTGAACCCTCAGCAGAGTTATCCAGAGCTGCTTGGCCACAGGGAATTCGTTCAGGGCAGGAAGGACGGGTTTAACATTTAAATTCCAACTTTTAGATCCTGGGTTGTGGCACCACGGTCTGGGGCTCGTTCCCTGCACTCACCTGACCACGTGAAAAGAACTTCTTGGCATGAGTTAAATCCATGGAATGGTTTGGGTGGGAAGGGACCTTAAAGACCATTTCATTCCAACTTTCATGGCCAGGGAGACCTTCCCCCACTCCTGGTTGGTCCAAGCCTCATCCAGCCTGACCTTGGACATTTCCAGGGATTCAGGGGCAGCCACGGCTTCTCTGGGCAACTGGAAACCGAACGTCAACATTATTGGTGGTTATGGCCGTTTTCTGTTCTTTATTCCCCCATTTCTCATTCCCAGGATGAGAGTTGAGCTCACGGACTACGCGACCATCAAAGGAATGCTGGATGCAGTTCAGGATCTCTCTTTCAAAGGCAGCAGCCTCCAAACAGGCTCAGCCCTGGCTTTTGCGGCTCAGGCCTTGTCCCACCAGGACACCCTGAGAGAGGAGGCAGCAAAGGTGGGTGAGCTCCTGAGGTGTTGTCCAGGGATCAGCTGGGCCATCCCAGAATGCTGGTATTGTTTGGGTCAGAAGGGAACTTAAAGCCCATCCAGTTCCACCCCCTGCCATGGACAGGGCACTTCCACCATCCCAGGCTGCTCCAAGTCCTGTCCAACCCGGCCTTGGACACTTCCAGGGATCCAGAGGCAGCCACAGCTCCTCTGGGAATTCCATTCCAGCCAGGAATTCCTTCCCAATATCCCATTCATCCCTGTCCTCTGGCAGTGGGAAGCCATTCCCACTTTGTCCTGTTGCTCCATGATCTTGCAAGTTGTCCCTCTCCACAGGGAAGAATTCTTTCCTGGTATCCAATCCAAACCTAGTCCTCCCTTAGGACATGAGGACTTGTAGGGATGAATCCTCGCCCTGTGCTGGCAGGAATTTCCTCCTGGAGTTCCTGCCCCAAGCAGAGATGAGACACAAGGGCAGGAGAGCCATGCAGAGAGGATCCTCAGAGGAGGATTATTTCCCAGCTCATGGAAATGATTCCATGTGAGTTTCCTCAGAGGTTTTTAAAGGATTTCATTCCAAGAGAGGGATTTCATCGGTGCGAAACGCCACAACTCTGACCGTGACCTCCTGATGTTGTGCCCGTTTTTCCCTGGCTCTTATCCCAACTCTTGCAGGTGGTGATTCTGATCACAGATGGGAAATCCAGTGATTACGTGGAAGAGGGAGCCCGGATCCTGCAGGATCGGGGGGTGACAGTGTTTGCTGTGGGTACGTGTGGCCACCAGAACCTCCATGTGACCTACCCTCGTTCTTCTCCCTGGGGAATATTCCAGATTCACAGCACCCCCTTCCTAAAAACTTCTCCCAGGCTCATCCTTTGGCAACCGCTGCAAGTCCAGGAAAATTGTTGTGTTCTTGGATATTTTTGTTGTTGCTGTCAATAACTGATTTATTCAGTGGGAATCGGTGATTTTGTATCTGTCAAAGCCACTTGGGAGTTCAGATGGAGTTCGATAAAAGGTTCCATAAAAGTCAAAATGTTTTGATGTGACATTTTAAAAAAAAAAAAAAAAGCAATTGAAAATGCTTTTGCTTCTGAAGGTTTCCTTTAATGGGGTTCAGGGACTGACTCAAAAATGTCCTTCAGAATAATTCCATGAGCAAGGAAAGGTTCCACTGCTCCCCTCATCCCCAAGAGTTAAATTCCACCAGTCAAATACTTCCCTTCCCCAAATATTTCAGGGAATGACAGGAATGGTGGTGGGGTTTCAATACAAAGAGCAAGCAGGTCAGTTTGAACCACTGTGAGGTGAAAATGGGGGAAGGATTGGTTTGTAGGGTGGGTTGTTCCCACTGGAATTTTCAAGCAGCCTCCCAAAATCCTGCTCAGCACAGGAATGTCTCTGTATCCAATGGGAAGGATAAGGTCGGATCCTGCCCTGTTCCTTTTTTTTTCCACCTCTCAACCCATTAGCAGCAGTGAGACAATCTCTGTGACACGTCTGGAGAAATCCTGATCCCTTTTCCCTGGTGGAAGAGGCTTCCTCTGCTTCCCTCATCCAGCTTGAGACTCCAATCCTTGTTCCCTCCTTTTCCTTGGCAGCACAACCCAAAATTGGTGTCAAACTCAAAGCCTGGCATGTCGCACCCCCTTTCCAAAGCCTTCCCTGCCCCATGGATGGTGTCTGATGTCCTCTTTTCCTGCTCTTTCCCTCCCCTAGGGATTAAGGATGCTGACAAGAACGAATTGGGCAGGATCGCTTCAGATCCCGCTGCGGAGCACGTGCTTTACGTGGAGGATTTCCATCTGCTCCCAAATGTGGCTCCCAAACTGTCTCGGAGGCTCTGCTTCACCGCCTCAGAGCCACCACGTCCTGTCAAGCAGAGGGTGCAAGGTGTGTCCAGGTTCTCCCTCGATCCTGTTTTCCATCTGCTCAAACCGACCTCTGGATGTGCTTCCATGAGGATGGACTTCCCACATCCCTCTGAGGGAGCTTGAGGGGTTGGGTGGTCCTAGAGGAGCCACCAGCTCATGGAGCAGCTCCTGCTTTGCGATAGTGGTCCTGGGGGTTTTTCTTGTGGCTGCCTCCCCGTGGTTTGTTTAGGGATACCAGATCCTGGGAATTTTGATGCTGGATCAAACAACGGGATCAGCAATGGGATGGAGCATCCCATGCTCCGTGGGGTATTTCGTTGTGGGATTGTCACAGGGAATTCTGGTGGCACAGCTCGGGGTCTGGGGAAGAACTTCATTCCCTGCTGAAGATGCAAAGAGCAGCCAAAGGGATCTCCAAAGAAATCTCCAAAAATATCTCCAAAGAGATTTCCAAAGAGATCTCCAAAGAGATTTCCAAAAAGATCTAGATCTCTCCTCAAAGAGATCCTGACTGCAGTGAATCCAGAGGTGATGGCGCTGAATTCCTGCCCTTTCTTGGCTCACGAGCTCATGAGAAGCTGAGTTAAAAATTTGGGGTAGAAATGGGGGTAACTTCACCTGAGACTTCTAAGGGTCTCTATTTTTTTGCTTCTTCTGTGGTTCTGCAGCACTTCAGGGCTTCCTGTGACATTCCATGGAAATTCCAGACTTCCTGTGACATTCCATGGAGAGTCCAAGCTTCGTGGCAGATTTCTCCAGTGTGGGAAGGAGAAGGGCAGGGAGGAGCTGCTGCCTTGTGCATTAACCAGGTGTTCACTGGGGAAGTGTAACCAGAACCAATTTTGGTTTCCTGCTTCGTGCTGTCAAAAAACTGGCCCAAAAAAATTCTGCTGGAATATCTCCTGTCCGGAAGCAGATCCCAGGTGTCCCTGTGCTCCCTTAACCTGAGCGACATCCACGGCTTTCTCAGTGTGGAATATGTTGGCTCCATCCATGAACTTCCACACGTGGTGGAATGCAATCCAAACTCTTTCCTCTCTGTTTTTGCAGCTGAGCAGATCCTGGGCCCTCGGGATCTGCATGTCAGCGAGCACAGCCACAGCTCCCTGAGGCTCTCGTGGGTGGCAGCCACAGGCAGGGTGACAGGGTACCGTGTCCATGTCCACCCCTCGCTGCCACCGGGGCAGCCGGAGCCAGAGCACCAGCAGCAGGTAGGGTCATGTTCCCACTTTCCAGGGCACCAGTTGGGTTTCAGTTCCCGATGCTGGGTTTCAGTTCCCGGTGTTGTGAGGTCATCCTGTGTTGAGGGCTCCTGGTTAGGAGGTGGCACCACATCCCTCAGCCATCCCAGGCACAACGTAATTATTGGAAATTCCTGAGGGTTGAAGTGAAGGTGTAGATCCACCATAGGATCCACCAGTTTCAGTTCCCAGTGTTGGGGGTTTGTCCATGTTGAGGGAATGTCTGGTTAGGAGGTAGAACCACATCCCTCAGCCATCCCAGGCACAACAGAACTGGTGGGAATTCCTGAGGATTGAAGTGTAGATCCACCATTGGGATCTGCCAGTTTCAGTCCCTGGTGCTGGGTTTCATTTCCCAATTTTGGGAGCTCATCCATGTTGAGGGAATGCCTGGTTAGGAGGTAGAACCACATCCCTCAGCCATCCTGGGCACAACAGAATTGTTGGAAATTCCTGAGGGTTGAAGTGAAGGTGTAGATCCACTGTGGGTGCAGATCCACAATGGGATCCACCAGTTAAAATTCCCAGTGTTGGGTTTCAGTTCCCAATGTTGGGAGGTCATGCTTGGTTAGGAGGTGGCACCCAATCTTCTCAATATCCAATCCTTTCTCTTCTTTCTGATTGCCACTACTCAATCCCATCCAGCCTCCCTGGCAGCATTTCCTGCTCCTCCTGCTGCCAGAGTCGTTCATGTTTTGGGTTTTGGGATTTTCCATGTCCTTGTGTGAGGGGTGCTGCCATGTGCTCCAGCTCATCCCACACCACACAAAGTCTGAGAGTAAGACTGAAGGGTAGAAGATACTTGCCCTAAAAGCTTTGATTCCTAATAATAGAACAAAGCTATGAAATCTTAAATTATTAAGGTGAAGATTATTAATTGTATCAATTATTAAAATTGTATTTAACTGGAATGATCATCCTTGTCAGCTTCTGTGTTTTCCCTGTTATTATGAGATCCTGACGTTCTGTTTCCATCTCATGCCCTCAGGTTACATCAAAATTTCCTTCCCTGAGCTTAAAAGGAACTTTCTTGGTTGTTTTTCCTTCATTTTCTTCAAAAGAATTTGAGATCACCTTTACCCTTCATGCACTCTCCATGTTTTATTTCCTGGGCAGTTCCATGAACTATTCCACAATTTGAGGATCATGTCTGGCTGAGGGTTTTAAGAGGCTCCTGCTGGTGGAAGTCACCTTGAGCAGGTGTGGAAGGTGACCTGATGTTCTGCGGTGGTGGTGTGACGGTGTCCCTTGTCCCCCTGTGTGACAGGTGGAGGTGGATGGGGAGACAACCACAGTGCTGGTGACAGATCTGAAGCCCAGTACCAAATACGTGCTGACGGTGAGGGCCAGCTATGGAGGGGCCCTCGGGGAGCCGGCAGCCATCAAAGGGAAAACAAGTGAGTGTCCCCTGGGCCAACCCTGTGGAAAATACCCAGCCCAAAGCTGGAGAGAATGGATGGATGGATGGATGGATGGATGGATGGATGGATGGATGGACAGATGATGGATGGATGATGGATGGATGGATGGATGGATGGATGGATGGATGGACGGATGGATGGATGATGGATGGACGGACAGATGGACGGACAGATGGATGATGGATGGATGATGGATGGATGCATGGATGGATGGATGGATGGATGATGGATGGATGCATGGATGCATGGATGGATGCATGGATGTGGCATGTGCTTGGAGCTCCAAAGTTTATTAGAGAAGCTCCTGTTCGGTCTCAAGATGCAGAAAGGACTCCTTGGCCTTCCAAATTCCTCCAAGAGGAGCCTGGATAGGGCTGGATCCAATCCCAGCCCTGGATTATCAATGGATTAAATCTAAGGAATTATAGAGGTGTGGTTGAACCTTTGCCCAAGGATTAAAGATGGCAAACCAGGCATATTTATATTAAAATAAATGATTTCTTGTGATAAATGAGTAGATAAAAAGATCTTAATCAGAATTATTTGCTGCAGAGTAGAGAAGCTAAAACTACCAGGATAGAATTGTGCACTTTATCAAAGTAATTATACTGTAGTAATTATGTTAAAGTAATTATCTTGAAGTAATTGTAATAAAATTAGCAAAAAATCACAATTATTGAAGCAGAGATTGATGTCACTCACCCAGACCAATGTCCAGGGGCAAATCTCTTCTGCTGACTCTCGAGGAGTGACTTTCAGAGGTGTCCCCACCCAAAGGAGGAATCCTCATTCCCAAGAAGGGATATAGGGATATGTCAGGACAATGTCTCCCGGTACAACTCTGGAAACAATCCAGGATGGAGGTTTCCAGGCACTCCAGGATAGAGGAGAGTCCTTGGAAGGACTTTTCCTTGGAAGAACCAGCTGAGGATGATGCTGTGAATTCCTTGTTTGCCCTGGCAAACCTCTTCTGCTGACCCTCGAGGGGTGAATTTGAGGGGTGTCCCCACCCAAAGCAGGAATCTCAATTCCCAGGAAGGGATACGGGGACATGTCAAGGGAACGTTTGAAAGTGGGACTGGACTTTTATCATCTCTGCTTTTAGGAATTTTCAGAGTTTAAGTGGTTCACTAATCCCACTCACATCCCTGGATGAAGCACGAATCCCGCTTTTCCCGAGGAGTTTTGTAAAGAATTATTCCTTTCTTCCCTGTCTTCTGTTTCTCCCCGCACCCCCTGCGATGTCTGGAATTCTTTGTCTTCTTGAGGGAAGATCTCTGACAGGATGAATAAATAAAGCTCCTCAATGAGGTTTGACTCATCTGTACTTGCCAGGAAGAAGATGGAATGTCTTTATGGGTGGAAATAAAGCCATTTGATCTCTCCTCTTATTATCCCCAACACGAAGCCAGAGGCAGGAGCTATAAATCCGTCTGCCATGGCTGGCTGGATCCAAGTGGGCTCCTCTCCCTTGGAATTGTGGCTGTGGGAGCAAAGCAGGGTTTGATTCATGGCTTTGATTCCTGTTCAGCCTGCAAGAACTGCGGAGTTTCCCCTGCCCAGGGTAGATTTCCTCTGCTTGTCAGAGTGTATTTCAGATCTCAACACCATCCCCAGAGAAAACTCCCAAACTTTCTGCTTTGGGATGTTTCATCCTTATTTTCAAGTGGAAAAAAGGGTTGGCAAGAGAGGGGGATTGTTTATTTTAAGAAATCAGCTGAGGAAGGGTTGGTGCTTCACCTCCTTGTGTCTCTCTGTCCCTGAAAAGATTTTCCAAGGATCTTTTCCATTATTCCGGCACTGCCACCTCCATTTCTGTCCTTATTTTTGTGTCCCCAAAGCTCCTGTGCCTCCAGTCACCAATTTCCGGGTGATAGAAGAAGGACTTTTCAGCCTGAAGGTGGCTTGGACACCTCCCCTGGGCAAACTGGAGGGCTACAAGATCTACATCCCCAGGGGTGAGTTTTGTTAGTTTTTAATTAATTTAAATAAATTTTTAGTTGATTTTTCTTGGTGTTTGCTTTAAAAAGAGCAGTGATCACCAAAGCAGTGATCCAGCAACCAAGGGAAGGTGCTGTTAACTCCTGGAATGACTCTGGAAAGAGTCCAGGATAGACTTTTCCAATATTGTGGTTCATCCAGGATAGAAGAGAATCCTTGGAAGGACTCTTCCTTGGAAGAACCAGCTGAGGACGATGCTGTGAATTCCTTGTTTGCCCTGGCACATCCAGACATTTTTCCCACTCAAGTCCCTGCTCTGGTGGGGATTTGGGATGAGTTCAAGCCTTCGGGATGCCTCCCACTCCCTTCTGTGGGATCTGAGGGACAGCACAGCCAGAATTCCAAGCAACACCACATGGATTGGCAGACTCCAGCCACACCCCTGAGCCACCTCCATGGTGTGAAGACCTCCCTATGGGATTTAGCCTCATGGAAAGGCTTCACCATCCCTTTTCTCCTTGATTTTGCAGCCAACAAGCCCGGGATGACCCTTGAGCAGATCCTGCGGGGCGATGTCTCTTCCCACCTGCTGGAAAACTTGCAGGAGGACAGGGAATACAGCATCAGCATCTACGCCGTGTATCCTGAGGGCCCGAGCCAGCCCGTGGCTGCTCTGGGGAGGACACGTAAGAGCCATGACCCTGTGGTTGGTCCTTTTTGTCCCCAGATGTTGTGTTCCCACCTCAGAGCTGGTGCCCTCATGCAGGACCTTCCCAATTCCATCCTAACTCTTCCCCCATGGACATCCTCAAGGCCATCCTGCAGTTTGGGGGAATGTGGGAGATCGTTTTCCCTCCTGTCTTGCACCCACACTTCACAAGGTTGGTGCTCGGAGATGTTTGGTTCTGGACAGTCACAGGTTGGGCTGTTCTGCTTCTGGTTTAGGAGATGCCCCTGGGCAGGAGCTCCTGGAAATCCCTCTCAGGGAATCTTTAAGGCTGAAGAAACCCTGGGAGATCCCCAAATCCAACCATCCCCAGCACTGCCATGTCCCCAAATGCCACATCTACTTGGCTCTGAAGTCCCTCCAAGGACTTGACTCCAGCTCTTCTGACCACCCTTTCCATGAAGATTTTCCCAATATCCAACCCAAACCTCTCCTGGCACAGTTTGAGGCCATTCCCTCTTGTCCTGTCCCTCATCCCACGGGACGAGAGCCCAGTCCCACCTGGCCACTTCCTTTCAGGTGCTCCCTTCACCCAGCTGAGCTGGAGGAACGTTCATGGAGAGCCAGCAAAGTCCTCCACTCCCAAGTGGATGCTCTGAAATTTTCTTCCCTGTCCTCCTTCCAGTGAAGCTTCTGCCTGTGGAAAACCTCTTGCTGCAGAATGAGACCACAGACACACTCCAGGCCCGATGGAGCCCTGTCCGGGGAGCAACGGGATACAGGCTCACCTGGACATCAGCAGGTACGGACAGGGGTGGGATACAGGCTCACCTGGACATCAGCAGGTACGGACAGGTGTGGGATTCAGGCTTATCTGGACATCAGCAGGTACGGACAGGGGTGGGATTCAGGCTTATCTGGACATCAGCAGGTACGGTCAGGGGTGGGATTCAGGCTCACCTGGATATCAGGTACAGACAGGGCTGGAGGAGTCTATCACTCAGCAAGGCATGGAAAGATGGGAGCTGTGAGATTCCCAAGGTGTTGGATACACTTTGGATTGGATTCCATCTTTGTCCAGAGGGAATTGGGGGTTTTCTCAGGGTCTGTGACCGGTGGAGTTCTCTCTGCCATGGATGCAAGAATTCCTGCTGTGGCTCTGTGTGAAGCAGGCTGGTGGATATCCAGCCTTGCTACATGGAATTAGTATTCCATGGATTTACTGGAACTGAGGAGCCTTGGAATAGCTGAGAGGAGCTGGGAAAGCCCTCCCTGCAGAGCTGCACAGCCCCTGAGCATTTGGGGTCACCCATTTTTTGGGGGACAACTGAGTACATGACTTTTGGGGGGACAGCCTAGAAGTGCCTGTGCTTGTTGCTTTTCTCTCTGCAGCACCAAAACCAGGCTGCATCCCCCAGAATCCTCATTTTTAGGCAAATTTGGGAGTTTGGAGACAGATCCACCTTTGCAGCTGGAGCTTTTCCCCTGACCTGAACCCAAAGATATTTTCCTGGGTGCTGGGAGTGAGAAATTTCGGTTTGATGGCAGATTTTGGCCTTGGGAGATGGACGTTTCTGGGGCTCAGGGATGTCAGGACACCTGGGCTCTATCCAAGGCTTTGAATAAAAACCACATTTTCCTCTCCCTCAGCTCCCCTGGTTATGATGGAAGGAGACATCTCCCACCAGGAGAGGCGGGGATTAGTGGGAAAACAGCTCCAAAGGTCTGAGTGAAAAATCTTCACAGGGAAGACAAAACAGCTTTTATGGCTTTGTCATAAAAAAACAACACCCCAAAACTCAGCAATTTCCCCAGGCTGTGCCAAATATCCCGGCTAGGAAACGAGCTCGATCGGGGACACTGAGGGGACACTGGGACAACCTCCTCAGGTAGAACAGGAAGAACACATCACCTCCACCCCGAATTTCCAGCTGTTTTTCCACCTGATACCCGCTCACCCCAATTCCACCCCAATTCCAGGGGTGGAAAAATCCCTAGGACAGCCCCTCCCCGGCCTCTGGGTCCTCTTCCCACACTCCCGGGATTAGGGATGTAGCGATGGGATCCAGACCCTGCCACCCATCCCAAGCACGGGAGGGGTTTGGTTTTCCTCGTCTGACTTTTAAAACCGGGATTAGATAAACACAAACTGGAGATGGGAGCTGTGGAGAGAGGGTGGGAAAAGGGGGATGGGGCTCCGGCTGCTGCTAGAACAGAAAATGGGGACGTGGCACCATCCAGTGACCAAACTGGAAAAGACGTTTTCCCTCCTTTAGAGTTTTTCCTCAACATCCTGCTGCCTGCACCTCCCTGCCCCTGGGAATCAGGGATTCGAAATTCGGGATTTCGAATTCAGAATCACAGGAATTCGGTTTTAACTCTTCTCCTGCTGGGCTGGGTTTAGCTGAGCTGGGTTTAGCCCACAACAAGGACATTAAAACTGCTTTTTGGGGCATGGATGGCTTCAGTTCCCTTTGCTTTGCGAATCCATGGGTTGCCTCAGTGATCCCTGAACTCCTCCCGGGTGGATGTGGATTATTTCCACCCGCAGCCACCCGGGGTGGTCCCGGTGTGCTGCAGGGTGGGGTGGGCTGAGCCGGGGGACGCTTTCCCTTCACAGAGGGCAGCATCCAGGACGTGACCCTCGGCAGCTCCTACAGCTACTACATGATCCAGGGGCTGGAGCCGGGCACGGAGCACACAGTGACCATCAACCCCGTCTTTGGGGACATCGAGGGACCTGTGGTGACTGGCAGAGCCACTACGGGTGAGTGTCCCATGTCAGCTCCTGCAGACCTGGGGGTGCTGGCACAGAGTTGGTGTCACTTCTGCCACTTCTCTGCGTCGTTGGGTTTGGGGACTTCTTTGAAGCTGTTGGGACCTCGATGGAACTGGGCAACTTTTCTCTCTTGCAGTGGCATCCAGCACTGTCCAGATGCTGAAAGTGAGCGAGATTTCCATCAACAGCCTCCTGGTATCCTGGGATTCGGTCGCGGGAGCCACCGGGTACAGGGTGGCCTGGGGTCCGACACCAGGTGAGATCCGTCCCTGCTCTCCCTGGAATGGGAGAAACTCAGGAGTGCTGGGATTAGGGCAGGTCCAGCTCTGAGCAGCCTCTCCCACAATTCCAGAGCATGAACTGAAGCCAGGGATTATTCCTGGCCCTGAGGCACCAACCTGGCCCCAGCCCAACACAGAGTGAGTCCCCAGGAAGGAGACAGGGAACATTCCCAGATTCCTGTGGTCCCTGGATGTGAGATGGTTTGGATTCAGTTCCTCTCAGCTGGTTTGGGCAGTCTTGGTATTAAAATTCCAGAATAAATAACCACAGGAAAACTCTCCCTTGCCGGTGAACACATGGAATCCCAACATCACTGAGGCTGGAAAAGACCTCCAAATCCAACCTGTGCCAAATCCCCACCCTGTGATGGAAGTGCCACATCCAGTTGTTCCTTGGTGCCTTGAGGGATGAGGACTCCAAACCTCCCTGGGCAACCCCTTCCAATGCCTGACCATGAGGAAATTCCCCCTGAATCATTCTGGAACAGGTGTCCTCCACCAGAAGGAATGTGGTGGATTTCCCAGGATTCAAGAGAGCCGCTCTCCAGACTCTTTCTCCTCTTGTGTTTTATTCTCTCTTCCAAAGAATTCTTTGGCAAGGACCGTCCCCGTCACCTGGCCCTCAGCAAGTCGGTGACGTCCCACCAGCTCCGCAGCCTGGCTCCTGACACCGAGTACATGATTTCTCTCTCCGTGCTCTTCGGCTCCGGGGAGGGCCCTGGAATCACCACCTCGGCCAGGACAGGTGAGTGCGGGTGGGATGGTGGAGTAGCTACTACGGAACGCAACCTCTGTGTATCTGGTTGTGTATCCCTGTCTGTTCCTGTGCTCTGGGCTTGGGAAGAGCTTCAGATTCGCAAGATCCCGGAATGGTTGAGCTTGGAAGGGTTGGAAGCCCATCTTGTTCCAACACCTCCCACTATCCCAGGTTGCTCCAAGCCCTGTCCAACCTGGCCTGAGACAATTCCAAGGATAGAGCAGACACAACTTCTCTGGGAAACCTGTGCCAGGGTCTCCCCATCGTCACAGCCAGGAATTCCTTCCCAAAATCCAACCTCAACCTGCTCCTGTACGGTTTAAAGCCACTCTCCCTTATCTGAAGCTCCTCCCCAGTGGTGAAGTGCCCAATCTGCACTCACTGAGCTTCCAGGTATCCCAATATTCACACCAATATTAAGTCCTCCACATTGTTAGAACCCATCCAAAAAACATCTGAAAAATGGGAAATCTGGGTAAAATCTGTTCTAGGAAAAGATAGGAAGATAAAGATGGTGGAACATCCTGGTGCAGTCCTTTTTGCTTGGTGGTAAGCACTGTCTCCTGCCTCAAAGAATTCCATAATTCCAAAAGAATCTTTCTGGGAGATCAGATTCCCTGGATAAGAGGCAGCAGGTGCAAATCCTTTGTGTAAAATGGGGGAAGTTGAGGCACAAACCTTGTCACTCTCTCTCAAACTTCGGGGCTGCTGCCCTGGGAGCAGGGGACAGGCAGGACCACTGATCCAAAGCAGAAGTGGGATTCTTGGAAGAGGTTCCAAAGTGGCAGCAGGTGACTGGAAACCCTGGAATACCACAAGGAGAAAATGGTCTCACCCTTGTGAGGAAGAGAACAGGGAATGTTCGGCAGCTGTGAGAGCTCTGGGTGGGTGTTTCACCTGGGTCCTGACATGGATCTCCTGACTCCATGGATCCCAAAGCCTGGCCTGGCCTTGTTCCCACTGGATCTGGGCAGGACGTGCTCCTTGATAACCTTGATGACCTTGGTGTCTCTCCAGGAGATGAGGATGAGGAGACACCAAGAATAAGCAAAGACCCTTTGATAGAATTTTGATATAATTTTGACTCACTAACGCGTCAGTGATGAGCCTTTGGGCAGGAATCAGAATGCTCCTGATGTTGCTCCTCTGGGATCTGTCTCCAACTTCAAGGTGATGTCCCACACCAGCACCAGCCTGTCCTTGGCCTGGAGCGCCACAGCCGCTGCCACCAAATTCAAACTCACCTGGAGCCCCATGGGAGCAGGCAAAGGTGAGCAGGGGAAGGACATTCCAGGCACCTTCCCAAATTCCTGACCTGCTCCTGGGGGTAGGAAAGAGATCCCACGGCTGGGAAACTTGGTCCCATTGGTGATGGCTCCTCTTCCTTGTTTTCATGGTTTTATTGATAGAGATAATCCCCAGAGCTCTGGGACGGCAGTGCAGCAATTTCCTTTGGAGGAAGGAAATTATCTCCAGGCTCTGAAATATCCCTGTTTTTCCAGGAAAACAGGTTGCCAGGACTCGCTACCTGGGCAGCAGAGTGTTGGCTCATCGGATTGAGCACCTGGTGCCCAACACCCTGTACAGGGTCAGTGTCCGGGCTGTGTTCAGCAGGACCGAGGGGCCGGAGGTGGTCCTGACTCACCACACAGGTAATTCCTGCTGGAAAAACCCTCCTTGAGTTGGGATGCAAAGCTTGGATTGGTCTCGGGTGTGGGATTGGCTCTGTTGGTCAGAGGCCTGGTGATCAAAACATCAAAGTTTTGGGTTCAGTCCTTGTGTTCATCCATTTGAGACTTGGACTCGATGATCCTGGTGGAGATATCCAAGATATTCCTGTGGATGGTGGAGGCATGAGCTGGTGGTAATAATCCATGGCTGTTCCCATGGGAGTGGACACATCCTTCTGGCGTGTTGGACAATCTTGGATTTATCAACACAATTCCCAGAGCTATTTATCCACCCAGGGAATGCAGGAGCCTCTCCGCAGGCACCACCCAGGGTCACTTACCAACCTTCACTCTTGAGGTCTGGGGAATTCCTTGGATTGTGGCTTTGCCTCTTCCAACACAGAATTCTGGCTCCTTCCAGCGTCTTTTTCACCAAATTCCATGAGTTTTTCATGAAATTTGAAGATGTGTCTGGATGATCCATCCTCTCTCGGAGCTTTTCTCGTGACCCTTTGTGTGTCACCAGTTTGGTGTGGGTAGTAAGAGATGTGGATGAGATTCCTCAGCTGGGAATCCATGGATCCATTAGGAATTTCAGCCTGGCATCCTGGATAATATTTGGAAAGTAGATATTGATTGAATGCCCAAATTCTTCTCCTCCACAGCTTGGAGCCAGGGTGCTGCTCTGGGGCTGAGCTGAAATCTTATCTTGGCTCATTTTTCCAGCTCCTTCTGGAGATTCCAACCCCATCCTGACCATCCAGGACCTGAGGGTTACTGACATCGGTGTAAACACTTTGAAGCTGGCTTGGAAAAAGCTTCCTGGGATAAGTCACTACAAGATATCCTGGGAGCCATCCAATGGTAAGAATCCCAATCCATTGATCAGGGAGCACAAGGAACCCACAAAAATGGGGAGTTTGGCACAGGAAATTCCTTTTTCCATGGGTGCTTGGGGTAGGAGGAGATTTTAATGTCTGCTGGGGCAGGTTGGACTCCTCTGAGCCCTGAGCTAAGCTTTAGGCTCTAACCAAGGATATAAATACAGCTGGGATTTGGGAATTCCAAGAATCAGTTCCTTCCCACATTTGTGACTGGACCTCTCTGATGCCAGTGCCTCAGTTTCCCTGTGGGAAAAATGAGTTCCTAACTCTCCTCCTTGGCGAGGTGCTGTCAGATGTGCGTGAAGCTGCTGTAGCAATGACTCTTACACTTCCCTTTCCATGGGCACCGCGGGTTTTTTGGGATGTCTCCTCTCAGGCGACTCGGAATCCTCCCAGCTGGTCCCAGTGGATGCCGCTTCCTTTGCCATTCCCAAACTGAAGGACAACACCAGCTACACCATCTCCGTGTCTGCGGTGGGAAAGGGACGGGAGGGAAAGCCCGCGGTGCTCACAGCCAGAACCTGTGCGTATGGGATTCGTGGTTTGGGATAAGAGCATCTCCATAGGGGACTGAAGAAAAAGAGCGATTTTGGCTGATGGACACCTTATTCCTGGAATTCCAGAATGTTTTGGGTTGGAAGGGGCCTTGAATATCATCCGCTTCCAACACCTTCCGTAGGCCAGGTTGCTCCAAGCCCCATCCAACCCAGCCTTGTTTCTTCTCAGATCCGACCAAAAACCATGCATTGATCCTTTCTTCTTATTATTGAGGATTATTGGGATTTCCCTGTCTTCCCCAACCAATAATCCCCGTTTTTGTGGCACGTTATCTTGGAATTCCCTCTTTATGCAATATCTTGACCATTTCCAGCAGGAAAAGGCCAATATCCCTCATGAGTTGTGCCAAAACGGGCAGGTTTGGAGATCAGAGGAGAAAGTCAGGGATGTGGGGACAACACTGGGATTTCAGGGAGCATCTGGAAAAAAAATCGCAGGAAAAATTTCATTACCCATCCCAAAAACTCACATTTCAGTCAGTTTAGAGTCCAGACTGAAGATCTGGCAAAATTTCCCTCAGTTCCCACCAAATGAGAACCTGATCTGATCCAGCTTCTTGGAAAACACCTGAAGTGCTGGAGGAACTCCTTCCTCTCCCAGGAATGGAATTTGGGAGGCAGAAATGTCCCCAGAGCTGTTTCCAGCCCCTAAGCTTTGTTCCTTGCTTTTCCAACAGTGGATTTTCCCGAAGTGACGGAATTCACAGTGCAGGAGGCCACAGATTCCAGCGTTTTGTTGTCCTGGGATGCTGTTCCTGGAGCATCCCTGTATTTACTGACGTGGGGATTGTCCTCAGGTAATGTTTGGTGTGGGGAGGAAACCCTGATCCATCCCCTGGACTCCTCTGGATCTGGATTAGCAGGAGAACCCTGGGGGTTTCCATGGGTTCCTTCATCTCAGCTTCTCCATTTGGCTGAAAAAGAGGGAAAAATGGGAGCTGGAGGAGGCTCATAAAATGTCCCATTTGGCTATTGCAAAATCCTTGGAGGAAGAAAAAAAGGAGGGGTGGGAATAGCTCAGGAAAAAAGGAATTTTGGCATTATCTGTGTCCCTTCCTGTCCATCAAATCCACCAAAAAAAGGTGGATTTTTGTCATCTGTAAAACCTTGTTCTTACCTGTTTAAAATCTCTGCTCTACTGTGAAGAACTTAAAAAAAAAAAATAAAAAATTACTTAATCATTCCTCACCATTCCTTTTCCCAATTTGGCTTTTCAGGATTTTCCCTTTTAAAGCACCGACTCCATCATTTTTTTCATGGATTGGACTAAAATCTTCTTTGAGTTTGGAGTTTCCTGTCCCTGTGGCTTCAACCACAAACTTTTTCCTAGGATCAGTTCATGTCCAAAATCACTAAAGAAACCAAATCCAACAGAATTCCCTTGGAGGTTGTGTCACTCAGGATGAACAGTCCCGTGACAGCAGCTTTTTTTTTTGGGATAAATATTATGGAAAAGTGATTTGGGAATGGAACATTGGGATCTCTGGGGTGATTTTAGTGATTTAAAGCAACCCTTCCCTTTCCTGTGCTGTGCTGTTCAAATATTGATCCAGAAGGATTCAGAAATCCCTGATTTCAGAGCAGTCTGGGAATCGGGAATGGATAATCCCACATCTGACAGTCCTTCCATCGATCCTGCTGGAGTGGGTTTATAAATATTGATTTCCCATCACCTGCAGATGAATCCTGACCCCACCTCTCCACAGGATAAAATTTATGCTCCTGAGTGAGTAATCCAAATTTTTCCTGGGTAATTATCCCAGCAGCCAACACTGGTGTATAAAAGCAATTAAGAATTTGGTCCTTATTTTTTGTCTTGATTAATTTTTCTCCACACAACTTGATTTTTTTTTCCTAAATTAACGTTTCCTTGCTCCCTTTTAAGCTCATTGAATGCCCTTTTCCCATCTCATTCCATCCAGCCTGTCCCATAAAAAAACTGGATCCCTTTCTCTTCCACTTGGGATCATCAGACAAAATAAACCAATTATGGCTATTTTGATTTAACTTTCCAAAAAGAGTTTAAGTCAAATTTCAAGAGGGATTTTACTCTTTTATTTAAAGGAGGAAAACCTCCCCTCCAAAAATTTTTGTGGAGAATTGAGAACAACGAACTGGATTTGATCTTTGGAGATCTTTTCCAACCTCAATTCCATGAGTTGATGACAGATTATTTGCACTGATTTTATTTCTTGCCATAAAGACTGAGCTTTTGGGGTGGTTTTTTTTAAAGCAAAATGTTATTTCAGAATAAAAAAGGTACAAATTCCACTTTGAACAGTGTCAAATTCATCATTTAGTATTTCTAAAGCAAGGCACTTAGGAAATGTCAATCATTATTTTAAATCAAAACTACAAATTGTCTGCAACCAAATTCCTCAGTCACATTTGATTTTATTTTTCATCAAACTTTCCATTCATTCCCAAAAAGAATCATATTTCTATCCATAAGAACCACTGGATAAAAATTGTTCTCTCAGCCTTGAGCACCACTTGCACCAAATCCCCTAAATTCTTGCATAAATTCCAATTTTTTTTCCTTTCTATTGCACAAAATCAACCTGATTTCATCAGGTTTAGGACCTGACCATTGCACTTTGTAAATTATTTACTCTTCTCCAAATCCTGGGAATCATTTCATCCCCAAATTCCTGTTTTCCAACAGTGATGCCACAGAAGTGGGAATTCCCCTGAGTTTTTCTGGCTCCCAGTCATGTTTCTCCTGTTTTCCACAGCTCCCTCTCTTTCCCAGGAATTGTTACCAGCAGTTTCCAGATCGTTTCGAGTGACGGGGCTGAGCTCCAAGGAAATGTATTTGTTTTCCATAAAACCAATGTTTGGAGACTCGGAGGGACCAGAGACAACACTCCTTGGACAAACAGGTATGAAGGGTGTAGACCTGGATTTTTGGGTTGAATTTTGGGTTTTCTACCCTTTTTCTCTTTGCTGGAGAGTGACATTGTGGCTAAAAGAGGTTTAAAATTCACCTTTTCTGTTTGGGTCCTACAGCAGGAACTGCCGGGGAGTCACCGACCGTTCCAGTGGCTCCTGCACCGTTGGATACGGGGAAATCTCCATCAGGATCTCCCGGAAGTGTGGGGACCACTCCTCTCCCAGTGCCCACCAGTACAAAGCTCCCAGAGCCCCCAGTATGGACCAGCACGGTGTCGGCACCGCTGACAACCCTGCCTGGGCTGCGTGAGTGTGCGGATGGTGATGATGATGATGATGATGCTGACAACCCTGCCTGGGCTGCGTGAGTGTGCGGATGGTGATGATGATGATGATGATGTAGAGATGATGATGATGATGTAGAAATAGACAAAGCTTCCAGAGGCCAAGATCTCCTCTGATCCCAGGAGCTAAAATCGGTCTTAATTCCTTGAATAATGAGAGTGGGCGATGTCAGGGAAGGCCCAAACCCCATAAATGCAGTGAAGGCCTCAGCCGTCCAGCATAGGCCAGAGCAACTTCAATAAAGTGAAGGATTTCCTCTTCCGGATTGTTTCCTATTTCCCCAAGATTGGACCTGAAGGGACACAGGCAAGATTTTCTTATTCCATTTCCTGAAGTTATTTTCTTTCTGTTTCCTCCTTCTGCTCAGCCCTGCCTGGAGCAGAATCTGCTCACCCAGGAGTTGTGGAGCAGAAAGGTGAGGGAAAGACCTGTGTGGAAGAAAAAAACAGGAATTAAACTCTCCTCAATGCCAGCTTTCCCATTTCCATTTCTTGGTTATCTTTCCAAGACCAAATCATTGGGAATAAAGCAAATTCCACACCTGAAATGCTGTCTAGGTTAGCCCAGAGGCCTGTCAGGTGCATATTCCCCTCTCAGATCCCATTTCTGACCCCATTCAGAGTGGGAATGGTTGGGAATAGAGATTGGGAATGATTGGAAATTCAGAGTGGGAATGGTTTGGAATCCAGAATGAGAATTGTGGGAAATCCAGAATGGAAATCATTGTGAACCCAGAGTGGGAATGGTTGGAAATCCAGACTGGGAATGGTTGGGAATCCACAGTGAGAATGGTTGGGAAACCAGAGTGAGGATGGTGGGAAATCCAGAGGGAGAATGGTTGGGAATCCAGACTGGGAATGGTCGGAAATCTGGAGTGGGGAATTGTTGGAAATTCAGAGTGGGAATGACTGGAAATCCAGGTGTGGATCCAAGTGGGAAATGGAGGATGTCCCAGCAGCTCCCTCCTCCAACAAACAGAGACCCAAAGCCCCGGGTCATGATGGGAATCACCTCCAGGGCAAATGAAGCCTGAAGAATTTAATGACAGCAAAGCCAATGGGAAGACTCAGTTCCTCATTTATTTGGGGTCATTTATTTAATCAACGGCATATTTGAATTAGGGAGATTTACAGAACTCAGTTGAAGTTGAGCAGGAAATGGGAATTTCTTGGACTCTGCTTGGAGGTTTTAGGTGAATGACGAAATTACCCTGAGTCAACAAATAACTCTGGGAACTTAAAAAAATTTTTGATTTAGGTGAGGGTCTGGCTCCCTTTTCCCAGAGAATTCAACCTCTTCCCATTCCTGGTGCACCATGCTCTGACTCGAGGCAGTCTGTCCCATTTCCTGTGGATTTGGGGATTTTAATCCCAGATTTTGGCAGGTTGCTGTTGCTCAGTACAACGAGGAGCCCAGGGCAGTTTTTCACTTCAACCAACACCGCGACCGCAACGGCGCCCTCGGAGCCATCAAAGGGCTGAGCTACACCGGAGGCAACACCAAAACAGGTCTGGGAGGGCACCTGGATACCTGGGATGATCCTTCTGGCCCTGGAAGCCAAGGAAAACATTTCTCTGAGTGGTTTGGAGCCATTTCCTTGGTGGGAATGTTGTGCCCAAAGTTGTTTTAAATTTGAGAACGGATTAAATTTAATTTTTGGGAGAGGTTTTTTTCAACCACTTGGTGCTTTTCACATGTCCTGATTTTTCCCCTGGGTTTTCCTCATTATTTTATGATTTTGCCTGGACTTGAGGGAGGTTTTTATACCACAAACATGAGGGTGTCTGGTTTGAAGAATTTTTCCATCCCAGAAATCCAGATATTTTTGTCTCATTTAAAAAGCTCAGAGAGGGACGACACTTTCCATGTGCTGATTCCCAGATGGACACTGGGAATACCTGGTTCCCCTGGAGGAACACAACCAGGAATGGTAAATTAAAGATTGTTAGTTTTAATTTAATCATTTAACCAAATTGGTTGGAACCTGGTGCCAGTAACTCCAAGATTCAATCCCCATATGGACCTTTCAGGAATTGGACTCAATGATCCTTGTGGATCCTTTCCAGCCTGGAATATTCTGGAGTTTTGTGATTTTTCAATGAATTCTTCACATCAGGAAAGCTTCGAGGCACCCAAATCTCTCATCCAAGTGGTATTGGACAGGAGCACAAAAAAGCAGGGACAGTCAAAATACAGGAATTTTCATGGGATTGGTTAGGGAAAGAAGGCATGGAATTGGTCAGGCTGGAAATTCCTGGCTAACCTTGCCTCTAATCCTGCTTTTTATGGAGTTTGTGTCAATAAAGACATTTTACTCCATGTAGGAATTTTTCCATAGTATTTTAGAGGTTCTTGACCATTTCCATTTCAATCTGTGGGAGATTTCTTTGTGAAACTTTCTTGGTCTTTCCAAAGACATTTGGAAATGGGAATTCTGTGGAATTTTTTTTTTTTTTCCTGAAGTGTAAGAAAAGTGCTTCAATTTTCTGAATATTTTGGTTTCCCTTTTCCAAAACTATCTGTTGATTCCACCAGAACCATTCCAGCCAAGCTGATTTCCGGCTGTTATCCTTCAAAAGACGTTTTCCCATGCCCAGGACTTTCCACTTATGAGGAATTCCCTTCATTCTCCACCCCTGGAAGAAGATCCAGAGTCCAAACCCGTGGAATTAATCCAGACTCCCACCCTGTCTCTCCCTGTCTGCTCAGGCCATGCCATATCCTACATGTTAAAGGAATTATTCCAGCCCTCCAGAGGGATGAGACCGGGCTTTCCTCACATCCTGGTGCTTGTGACCGATGGACAATCCCAGGACGACGTGCTGCCCCCAGCCAGAGCGGCCCATGCTTTGGGTAGGAGTTTCCAGTTGTGTTTTCCTTGGTTCTCCATGAATTTCCAGAGGGCTGAGGTTGCTGTGTTGTGTTTTTATCAGTTCTCCATGAATTTCCAGAGGTTTGAGGTTTTCCTATTGTGTTTCCCTCCATTGTCCATGAATTTCAAGGGGGCTGATGTTTCCCAGGTGGGTTTGGTTGAGGTTGCCCCATTGTGTTTTCCTCAGTTCTCCATGGATTTCCAGGGGGTTGAGGTTGCCCCATTGTGCTTCCCTCGGTTCTCCATGAATTTCCAGGGGGTTGAGGTTGCCCTGTTGGCTTTCCCTCAGTACTCCATGAATTTCCAGGGAGTTAAGGTTTCCCCATTGTGTTTCCCTCAGTTCTCCATCAATTTCCAGAGGTGTGAGGTTGCCCCATTGTGTTTCCCTCAGTTTTCCATGAATTTCCAGGGAGTTAAGGTTTCCCCATTGTGTTTTCCTCAGTTCTCCATGAATTTCCAGGGGATTGGGGTCACGCCATTGGGTTTCCCTCAGTACTCCATGAATTTCCAGGGAGTTGAGGTTGCCATGTTGGGTTTCCCTCAGTTCTTCATGAATTTCCAGGGGGTTGAGGTTGCCCTGTTGGGTTTCCCTCAGTTCTCCATGGGTTTGCAGGGCTTTGAGGGTGGTGCATCATGTGAGGAGTCACTTTGAGGGCACTTTTGGTTCATTCCTTCCTTTATCCTTTCTCTTTTCTCTTCCCAACTTGTCTTGGTTCGCTGTAGCTCACACCCAGCTCCAGGTGACTTCTCTGAGGGTTCTACCTGATCCCACCAGAGGTTTTTACCAGGGAGGGGTTTAGAAACTCTGATCCCAAGAATTAGGAGTGGTGGAATCCATGTCATTCCAGGGCTCCGTGTCATTGCTGTGGGGGTGTCAGGAGCTGACCCCGTGGAGCTCCACAGGATTTTGCTGCAGCAGAACCCCCAGAATGTTTTCTATGTCAGCACCTTCGATGACTTCCCCCAAATCCTCCAAGAGCTGATAGAAGCCATTTGTTCTGATCCTCAGCTTCCAGGAACCCAAATCCCACTGGGAAAGGTGAGTTCCTACTCCTGGGAGTAAATCCAGCTTGGAGTGGGTCAGGCACAAGGAAAATCTTCTTCCCTGAGGGAACAAAGCAGACTCAGAGTGGATTTAGGTCACCGTGTCCCATCCTGACCTCGCTGTCCAGCCCTAAAGAGCAAAACCTTTGAAATCCAGGGAGTGGAACTGAGGAGGCCAGGATAAAGCTGGGAATGTTTTGGTGGATAAAACAACTGCAGAACACTTAGATATATTAAAAATTCATATTATAAATGCATAGGAATAGACTGTAAATGTCTGAGGATTCTCCTGGATGGTCAACTCTGCTTCTCCCTTTCTTTGCCTAAGCCAAGGAATGTTCTAGTCTGTGTTTCCTGGTCACTCCAGTTTATTTGCCATCCTTTAGTGGATTTTAATTCCCTGATAATTTTTTTTTTTTTTCTCTTTTCTGTTGAAGAGCTCCAGGGGCTCAGCAGCTCACAGGGGTTATGAGCCCCACAGCTTCACTACGAAGGGAGAGAAAGGGGAGCGGGTGAGTCACAGAATATTCTCAGTTGGAAGGAACCCACATGGATCATCGAGTCCAGCTCTTAAGGGAACGTCCCTACAGCATGATCCATTTGGATAGTTAATATCATGGAATATCATGGAATGGTTTGGGCTGGAAGGGACTCAAAAGATCATCCAGTTCCAACCTCGACACCTTCCACTATCCCAGGTTGCTCCAAGCCCCAGTGTCCAACCTGGCCTTGGGCATTTCCAGGGATCCAGCCACAGCTTCTCTGGGAATTCCATCCCAGCCCCTCCCCACCCTCTCAGCCAGAAATTCCTTCCCAATATTCCATCTATCCCTGTCCTCTGGCAGTAAATACAACCAAATTATGACTGAGGAAGAGTTCAAGGAAAGAATCACCCTCAGGTTGTTTCTGTTGGTGTTTTGCTCTTCCTGCTCCATGCTGGCTTTGAAAATCCTGGAAAAGGGAATTGCTCTGGGATTTGGGAATACTCTCAAGTGTTACAGTGCTGTATGAAGCTGTTTGGCTTTGCAGGTCTGAGGTTATCCCCTCCAGGCTGTCATTTTCCATGTTTTTAGGGTCTCCCTGGGAAAGACGGCATTCCTGGGCTGCCGGGCAGGCCGGGCCGGCCAGGTCCTCCAGGTCCCCCTGGAATCATGGTATGGATTGGTTTTAACAAACTTTTCCAAAGGGCTATTCCAGAGAAAAGTGACCAGTATCCCCCTCTGTCCTGTTTTGCAGGGGCTCCCTGGCAGCCAAGGCGACATCGTGAGTATTTGGAATCCTGGGTTGGTTTGGGTTGGAAGGGACCTTAAAACTCATCCCATTCCATGGGCAGGGACCCTTCCCACCATCCCAGGTTGCTCCAAACCTGGCCTTGGACATTTCCAGGGATCAGTATCCATGGTTGTGTGGGTGTTTTTCTGTTTAATACTTCAGAATTTATTTTTAATTCCAGGGATCTCCAGGCTATCCAGGACCAGCGGGGCCAAAAGGAGACAGAGTGAGTTCCATTCCTGGATTTCACTGGGAGAAATTAATTTTATTGTTGTGACCTCTCTTTTCCAAGCATTTTCACCAGGATCTTTGGTGAATGTGAATTTTTAAGCTGTGTCTACCTAATCCTACACTGCCTGTCTACAGCTTGGGGAGTTTCCCTCGGGAATTTTATGTCTTTATGGAGAAAAGTGCTCAATCCTAATCCCAGGTTCTGGGCACAATTAATTAGTTAATTGATTGCAGAAGAAGGTGGGGTCATTCTGCCTGAGTCTCCATAATTAACAAACCTGGTTTAATCCACTCAGGACACTAAAATATTTCAATATTTACTGGGGGCAGATCCCAGGAGGAGCTTCCTGCCCTTCTCCCAGTCCTCATTCCTCCTTTTTCCCTGCATCCCCCTGAGCTGTCTGTGCGGATGAAGATCGGGAATGGACCCTGCTGGAAAGCCAACTTCCACTTTTTTCCTTGGGATTAATTTTTTCCATGCCAGCAAGCAAAACTCAGGTCATGGCCATGTGGTTTTGGGTGCCAAGTGCTTTGAGTTGATGGAATTGCCCCTAAATCACCCAATTTCCCGTCTGCTCCTGGATCTCCCAAAGTGCTTTTATCCACAGGGAGAGCCAGGCTATGTCCTGGGAGGAGTGGAGGTGATTCCTGGCCGGAATGGGCAGCCTGGCCCCGCTGTGAGTATCAAACCCCAGGTGTGGGGGAGCCTTCAGCTTCCCAAGGGTTGGGAGAGATCCCAAATCCCTCCCTCTCCCACTTTTCCTTGTCACAGGGACAGAAGGGGCAGCCAGGAGTTCCTGGGGTTCCAGGACCACCAGGTTCTCCAGGGCCACCAGGAATCTCCATCAAGGTGAGTTTGCAGCACAGTTCTGGGATGTGCCACAGGAAAGGGAGACCCAACACCAAATATTGCAGGTGGAGGTGTCTGGAGACTTCTCCTGAAGCTCTGCCTTCTGGTGGGAGTGGGAATTTTGCTGTCTTAGAGCAAAAATCTCCCAGATTTTTTGCTGGGTTGAAGTTTGGTGAGGAGCCCCTAAATGCCCATCCCATGGGAATTCTCCTTGTCCTTTGTGTTTCAGGGTGAACCAGGGAATTCAGGAATTAGGGTGAGTACCTAAGGTCAGCTTTCACTTTGGGATGAAAAGCCTTTTTTCCAGTTTTTTTTTCCAAACTGCCCAGGAAGTTCTGGCTTCCAAACTTCCAAATTTCCTTGGAGAAATGTGAAGGGATCATGGAGTGAGAATTTCCTGTGCTTCATGCAGGGTCCCCGTGGGAGGAGTGGCCTCAAAGGAGACAGAGGAGACACAGGAGAGCCGGTGAGTGCTCCCAGGAAGTCAGGATAAAACTGGGACAGATCCAGAGGAGGGAAAAATGTGGATCAAGAGCATGAGACAGCAAATGGCCCAAACTGGCAGCAGATCCAAAACAAGGGAAGGGGTGGTTCTGCCCAGAAATCATCCCACAAGGAGGTTTGGGGTGTGGGAAGTTTGGGTTCAAGGGGAGATACAAGAAGGAAAAAAGTCCATGGAGAATGGACTCCATGGGAATAAAAGGCACCAGGATTGGTTTAGGAATTCTCTGTTACAAATGGCTCAGTCTGAAGGTTAACATCAACGTGCTGTTTTTCCATCCTTTTTCCATTCTGTTGTTTTTGCCATATTGGAGAGCCATATCCCATAAATCAGCCTTTTCCATGGGTCTGGATTCACCATTCCAGACCAACCTGGGCTCCCAGCCTCTGTCTTCCATTATTTCCCCTTCCTGGGTAAAGCCAGGGATTCATAACTTATTTGTGATGGAAAAGGAAATTTGGGAATACACATCCAGCTCTGTAATTCCTCATTTTTAAAGGAACTGTTCAGATGGACAGGTCAGGATAAATATTTCCCTGCAGAATTAAAAATAAACCTTTCCAGTTTGGAGGGAAAAAAAAAATAAAAAAGATTTGATGATGTTCCTTCCTTTCCAGGGAAAACCTGGTGTGCCAGGCCCTGTGGGGCTCCATGGGGCTCCTGGACTGCCTGGACCACGGGGAGAAAAGGTTGGATAATTCCTGAATCCCTCAGCCCAGGGGGGAAATGAGAGGAATAGTAGGGTGGACCTGTGGGAAGGCATTTTGGGATGTGCCAACATTCCTGGAATTTACTAGCTCTGCTCAGAGCCAAACATTTCCAGAGGAAATTTCTCCCCTCCTGTTTTGCTAAGAAAGACTCTGGAGCAGAAATCTGGGAAGGATGGGTGCTCTGGGATCAGCATTCCTGAGGATTCTGTGCTTTCCTTGCAGGGAATGGCGGGAATTGGCATTCCTGGCACTGCTGGCATGAAGGGGGAGGAAGGAGAGCAGGTGGGTTGGAAATCTTGCAGTGAGATTTGCATTAAAATCCTCTCTGAAACTTTTTTCTCTTTGCTTTTTTTGGGCTGAATTCTCTGTGGATATAACTTTTCTTTAGTCTCTCAGCCTCTTTTGGGCTGAACTCCTCTGGGATCCTCTCTCGTGGGGAGTCTCACTTATCTCAGTCCTTATTATTCGATAAAAACTCCCGGGCTCATTAGATTCTGGTTTCTTGTGTTTATTGAAGGATCTTTACAAAAACTTGGCAGGTTTATCTAGACTAGCTGCACAAGCTTAAATCACCACAGCCTGGCTCATCTCGTTCTAATGATACAAAATGGCCCCGAACCACGCGGTCTTTTCACCTTTATATCAAATTTTACTCTATTAACTACAGACACGTGTATTGTTATTATATCTCAACAAATAAGTTTACTATATCTACTCATGTAATTAAAAGTGCGACTAACTCTAAACCAATCATATTTTGTGCTTCTAAAAACTTCAGAAGCATGGAGAAGAAGGAAGAAGGATTAAAAACTACGCTCTTTCTTCTCTCTTTACATGTGAAACTCTCTTAAGATCTATATTTTCACTTCAGTGTCAAATGAAACAATTTTCTACTTTCTATTTAATTTCTTACTAACTCTGGCTTGCTCAGGGATATTTGGAAGCTTTTCTGTCAATATTATATATGATTGATGTATTTTTTAAAGAATTGTATAGACAGAGAAATGTCCCTGCATTTCTAGACTCCTACACTCTCGGAGTGTTTAGTGTCTCCAAAGCCTCCTCCAATTTAGGTTTTTCTTGGAATCCCGTGGTTCCACACGGAAAGGGTGAGAGAAGGGAAGATTTGGGGTTTAAAGTTGGAGCTTTCAATGTTTCCTCTGTTGTTTTCAGGGAATGATGGGACCTCCAGGAGCACCAGGACCAAAGGTGGGTGCTGAAATCCTGAACCCAAATTCCCAGGGGCTGGAATTCACGTTCCAAGGAAATTTTCTGCTCCTAACCAGCATTGTAATTAATCATCATAGTAATTCCTGTGGGAATCACTGGATCATGGAATGGCTGGGTTGGAAGTGACCTTCCAAGGCCACCTGGTCCAAACCCTCTGGACTGAGCAGGGACACCAGCCTGACCTGGAGCCTTCCCTCAAAAGCAAAGAAAGGGAATAATTTCCCACTCCCTGGACTCTGGAATTCCCTGCTGCCAGGAGAGATCTGGAATGTCAGCAGTGTGGGATATTTTAAACAATTTTAAATAATAAATGGCACTTTTGTGGCCAGGGAGACTCCAGAGTCACAGGCTGGAAGAGCTGTCCTGTAATTGATGGAAAATTGAGTTGAAGAGCTCCATCCCCCCTTCCCTCCCTCTGGATGGCAGCAGGAACCAAAACTGCTGGATCTGTTTTCATTCTGGTGAAAATTCCCTTCTGATTTCTTCCAGGGAATTCCAGGACCTCCAGGGCAGAAGGGAGACCAAGTAAGAGAACATTTGACCAGCTCAGGTGCAATTATCCCGATTTTTCCCAGCTTGTTCCCTGTGGGATCCAGCAGGGATATCCTTGAGCTCAGTTTTCCCCTCTCCTTGGCTCTTGTGCTTCTGAGATGAGTTTGGGAATTATTTCGAGGAATAAATGGTGGGAAAGGGATGAGCAAAAATTTTTCCCTGCTTCACATTTTTCATTCCATTGGCCACCATTCCTTCCTCTTGCCTTGCAGGGAAATCCAGGATTTCCAGGTGCTCCAGCCTTGGAGGTAACTTGGAGTGGTTTAGAGCCCTTCTTGTCCTTCAGCTGTGCAGCCTCCATCCCAAAATGCCAGGAATCCAAGAGTTGTGTCCCACAGAATTGCGGGAAGAACACTCAGACCTTTTCCCTGACCCTCCAGCCAACTTGGTCCTCTTCTCCCTCGCTCCACGTCTTGTATTCCGTGTATTCCCATTGTCCCCTCAAAGGAGCTCCACTGCCTGTCCAGGAAACATTAGGATAAAAATTCCCACCACTGAATCCATGTGCTCCAGGCCTGTCCCTGATCAAGCTCCTCATCCACAGGGATGAGCCCTGCTGGACACCCACAGCTCTCCATGACCCTCCAAATTCCAGCTTTAAGGAGAAACCTCAGTGGTGGCCACCTCTGTGTCCCATAACAGTTCTGATCCCATAACAATTCTGATCCCATAACAATTCTTTCTTATCCCATAACAATTCTGATCCCATAACAATTCTTATCCCATAACATTCCTTGCTTTGGAAAAGTTACCATGAAAAGGAGATTTTTTTATTTATTTATTTTAGGTTTTTTTCCCACCAATAACTGAGGATTTCTGTTTCTCTTCTCCTCAGGTTTTGGGACCTCCAGGCAAGAAAGGTGTCAAGGTAAGACTGATGTTTAATTAAATACTTAATTAGCATTGCTTGAAAAGGCAAGATCTTTTCTTGGAAAAGCAGAGGTTGTTCCATGTTTCCTGAATTCCATCACCTTTGTGATTGACTGGAGAGGAGAAAGTGGAAAAGTCTTGTCCTGGGGCTATTTCCCTTGCTTTAATTCACATTTTGTACCTGGTATTCTCATTCTAGCTTTAGTCCTGGGGAAATTTTGGGATTTCAGAAGGAAGACATCATTCAAGCACAGATCCAGCCCAATCCCAGAAGACACTTCCAGCCAAGGGAGGCTAAAATCAGGGATAGAAGAGGCAGGAAGGGATTCTTGGATTCTCCAATCCTACCTCCTGCTCAAAGCAGGCCCACTCCAAAGCTGGGTCAAGTCTCCTGTGCTGAGAATTCCCATGGATGGAGAATTCCCACATCTTTAGGCTCCTGATCCAGAGTTTGGCCTCACTGGGAGAAAACTGAGTTTCCCAAACCAAGGAGCTCTCTGTCCCAGAGCTGTTCCCTGGCTGTATTGTCCGTATCTTCCAGCTGCTTTAGAGAATTCCAATCACTTTCTCATTGGCTTTGGGGTACAACATGACCTGGAATATTTTAAATTTAATTTTTTAACTTTTCTTTTTTCAGTCTTGCTCTCTCATTGCCATTCTGCCAAAAACCTTCAGTCTGTGAGAAGGATTTACTGCAGGACTGATTCCCCTTAGATTTTCCATGGAAATTCTCTACAGTGCTTCAGACCTCCCTCATTCCATAGACACAACGAATTTTGACTTTTTTGCTGGGATTCTGTGTTGGAATCACCTCCTTTTATTGATCTTTTATTGATCTCAGACTTGCTTGGCTGGCAAAAATCCTTTTTTTTTTTTTTAGGCTGTAGTGACCTGGGAATTTTGCTCTGGCCTTATGGTGGGATGTGGCCTGGAATATCTGATTTTTTTTATTATTATTCCTGATACTTCACTGCCAACCTGCAGAGAAATGGCAGATGTTCATTTTATTCCGTTTAAACCAGTAAAAATGTGTTCTTGATGCTTTGTAGTGTGGCAAAATCTATGATGAATTTTGGATGGCAGAAGGCAGAACGGGAAAAAATTCCTTATAAATCCAGGATGAAGAGATGGGTTGATTTGGAAAAGGGTTTTTTTCCAGGGTGCATCAGAAGTGCAAAATGCAGCCCCAAGGAGTCACGGGAACAGGGCTTGGCTTCCTGCAGGATATTCTTGGTCTCAGGTATGTCTTTTATTCCCAGGGAGATCCCGGACCAGCTGGAGCGCGAGGAGACAAAGGAGTCCCAGGAGAGAAAGGGGAGAAGGTGATGACCCTGCACTTCCTTTAGGGATAAAAGGATTTATTTTGTTTGTGGCCACTGAGGAAACTCTGAGGGAGATGGAATTTCCTCCCCAAGTCATCCATCCAGGAATCCAGGGGGAAACTTCCATGTGTAGAAATCCAAATCTCTTGGAAAGGAAACTGGGGAGGGAGGAAATCCTCAGCTCCCTGGTTGTCCATGGGGATGGAAATTCCTTGGATCTGCTCTGGCTTTTCCTGCTCTGTGGAGATTTGTCCTGAACTTGGCAAAGCTGCCTTGGCAAGACCCTGTATCCCTTTGTTTTTTCAGGGAAGTCCAGGATTTGGAATTCCTGGCCAGCCTGGGCTGAAGGGGGACATCGGTGACAGGGTGAGTGGGACAGTGGGGTGAGTCTGGAATGGGAAGGACTCAGGGGACAAACTCAGAGGTTTAGGGACAAAATCCCTCCATCGCCTCCATGGATTTGTCAGCCTTCCGCCCTGAGGAGATGGACACGGGGGAGGTGACAAGGAACCGGGCTGGTGACCCTGTGGAGCTCTGGGGGTCATGAGCTCTGTCCTCAGGTCAGGTGCAAATCCCCCAAAATGTGGAGAATTCCTCATGACTGGAGAAAAACACGGATGGTCAATGCTCAACTGCTGACCCTGTGGACAGAATCCAATCTTGGTGGACAGAATCCAAGGAAGTCCCATTTCCAATTATTTCCTCTCCTGAAAGTCACCTTGATCTTCATCTTCCTGACTTTTGTGTCTAGGAAGGTTTTGGTGGCTCCCATGTGACTCCACTGATGTCCAGGAAGGGTTGGGTTAATCCTTGCTGTTCCCTTCTCCACGGACATCACAGTCTCCTTCCTTTTAATCCAGCAAAAATTGGCAAATCCCAATATTTATGGATGAGAATCCTTTGGAAGAGGGGTGGGAAACTGAAAATATCGATGGTTTCAAAGTGTGAACAGTCCACAAAGGAGACACCTTTGGACAGGGCAGGCTTGGTGCAGCCCCTCGTGGGACATTCCCTGTTTTCCCCTTCTCTGATTTTAGCTGCTGACACCTGGAATTGTCTTACCTGTGTCATTCCTTCTGTGTTTCTGCAGGGAAATGTGGGATTGTCTGGGAAGCCAGGCCAGAAGGTGAGTCCATGGAAAGCTTTGTTCCCTGTGAGGATGGGGAGGCCCTGGCACAGAATTCCCAGAGCAGCTGTGGCTGCCCCTGGATCCCTGGAAGTGTCCAAGGTCAGGTTGGATGGGACTTGGAGCACCCTGGGATAGCGGAAGGTGTCCCTGTCCATGGCAGGGGGTGCAACCAAGTGGTCTTAGAGGTTCCTTCCAACATCTTTGGTCAGGCCTTAAAAAATTCCTGCTAATCCTCACCTGCAGGATTTTTCCCAGGAAAAGTTCAAAACAAGTCAAGAAATTTCTGGAGAAGATCCCACCTGTGGCATTTCAGTGAGTGCCTCACTGTGGGCATTCCTCAAACAGGGATCTCCCCAGACTTGGCTGGAGGAGGGTTTGGATTTGGGAATTGTTCCGTAGATCAGTGAATGGAAGTTTTAGGCCAGATCAGCTCCCAGGGCATGGAAAAATGGGATGTCACAAGAGATAATTGGGATGCAGCCAAGCCAGGAGGTGTTAATGAGATGTGTTAATGAGGTTGCAAAGTGGAGGCAAGGAGAGGTATTTGGGATTGGGAGAAGGCCTGGAGAGTGTCACAAATTTCCCAGATTTCATGGAATATTCCAAGTTGGGAGAGACCAACAAGGATCATCCAATCCAGCTCTTAAGGAAATGGCATCAAATCCATGACCTTGTGGGACAAACATCAGAGCAGATGAGGACCCATCTGTGAGAGCTCAGCTGATTTAAATAGGAATAAAAATTAAAACATGGAATGGGAGCTGGTCCTGTGTCCAGGACTGGATAAATCTCGAGTCTCTGCTTATCTGAGCTGCTCCTGGAGGAGAACCTCAGGAGATTCTGTCCTGAGTGAATTCCAACGATGGCTGTGGAGTCTGGGTAGATCAGGTTAGAGCTGGATGCTTTCCAGCCCAATCACCCTGCAAAAATAATAATACTATAATTAAATAAATTGAAATTCTATAAATATATATTATTAAATAAATCAAAATAAACTAGATATGAATAATACAAATCCTGAAATCCCAGCCATTCCTAGCACAGGGTAAATGCTCCGAGCCCAAACTTCATCCAGGATCGTGGAAGATATTCCATGACCATGAATGTGCTGTTGGAATCTGCCCCTCAGTGTGGGAGGGCTCTGGAATGCAGGACAGGAATGTGATAAGTCTTGTTTCCTTTAGGGGGAGAGAGGTGAACCAGGATTCCCTGGAAAACCAGGAGAGGCCGGGCTGAGAGGAAAAGATGTGAGTAAAGGCAGGATCCAGGGGGGAATGGAGCTGCTGATCCCTCGGGACCAACCAACAGCCCCAGCTCTGCCCTGCAATGGCAAACAAGGAACAACTTTTCCTCCTTGTTATCCAGCATCAGTTCCCAGAGAAGCTGTGGCAGCCCCTGGATCCCTGGAAGTGTCCAGGGCCAGCTTGGACGGGGTTTGGAGCAGCCTGGGACAGTGGGAGGTGTCCCTGCCCATGGCAGAGGGTGGCACTGGATGGGCTTTAAGGTCCCTTCCAACCCAAATGATTCCGGGATTCTTTGATCACGATTTTTGTCACTGAGTCACATCTGCTTGATGTGGATTTAGCACAAGGTGCAGCCACACCAGCCCTGAGAGGTTCACTTCTGGTTCTGAGCCTCAAATGATCTCAACTTGGAAAGGATCCATAAAAATCATGGAGCCCAGCTCCCTGCTCCTCACAGAACTGCCCAAATAATTCCCTCCTGTGGCCAAACAAGGTGGGCCCTCACAAAAACATCAGAAGAAGCTTCCAGAAGTTTCTTCTCACCCCAGTGAAGAGCTTTCCTCAGCTCTGAGAGCTGGGTTGATCCCTGGAAATGGAATAGGATCCCTATTAAGACTTCCTTCTTGGGATCAAATGAGGTGGCCCCGCGGAAAAACAAGGTGGTCCCTCACAAAAACAAGATGGCCCCTCACAAAAACAAGATGGCCCCTCACAAAAACAAGGTGGCTCCTCACAAAAACAAGATGGCTCCTTGGAAAAACAAGATGGCTCCTCGGAAAAACAAGATGGCTCCTCGCAAAAACCCGGTGGCCCCTCACAATAACATCCTGACTGGCTTCTGGAAAATTGGATTTTTATCCATTGAGCTTGACTTCACTGGATCTGGAATATCCCTGTGGTCAGTTTGGGTCACCTGTCCTGGTTCTGTCTCCTCCCAACCTCCCATGAATTCCCAACTTTTCTCCTGGGAAACCTCTCCTGAGCACAGTCAGTGAAGAGCTTTCTCCCAAGGGTTGGGTTGATCCCTGGATGTCAAGTGGAACAGGATCACCCAAGGAAATCTTGGGGAAAAAAGGAAGCGGCTGCATTCCGATAGCCCTGACTTCGGAGTCGTGATTCCAGGACAAGAGCTCTGAGTTTGACTTGGAAATGATGGGAAAAAACTTGGGAAAACCCAGCACTTTTGTGTTGGAGGGAGAACCAGGGAGGAAAGGCTCCTCTGGGACTGAGGTAATCCCATCCTTTCCCGAGTTGCCGGGAGAACAGCAGCTGGAAAATGAAACCTTTGGATTTGTCCTGAAGTTGATCCCTGCTCATTTTATTTCCTGTTTATTTCTCCTTAAGTAAGGCTGTGGAGAATCCTCTTCACCTTTCTTTTATCTTGGGTTTCACATTCCAAAAGGCTGGAATGCAAAAGCCAAAAAATAACTAAACTGGCTTTTGGGGGTTTTTTTGGGTTTTTTTCCTGGGAGATGCTGAAAACAGAGTGCCATGAATGGAATCCCAAAATATCCCGAGTTGGAAGGGACCCACCAGGATCATCCAGTCCAACTCCCGGAGCTCAGAACAGTGGGATTTGGTGGCAACCACCTCATCCTGCTCCTAAATTTCAATATTCCAGTCACCCCACACCTTGTGCCCCTTTCTCCTCATTTGTGGGAACGCTGTAAAACACCATCCCGAATTTAAGACATCCCAGATATCCCAAAACCTGCCTCTATCCCCGTTTTCCAAGCATTAAGCAGGGCTAAAGAGATTTAATCTCCATCAGAGCCCCTGGAATGTTTGATGGACTCAGTTCTCTCCCTTTAAACCCTTTCCTCCAGGTTTAAGTGCAACAAAATTCCTATCACTTGATGGGAAAACACTTGGAAAGCTGCTCCTCTCTTTTAGGGAGAAGCTGGAGTCCCTGGAGAGCCAGGAGTGAGAGGAATCAGGGTAATAATTCCATTTTTCTCACTATTATTATAATTTCCTGCCCTGCAGAGTGGTGGGGCTGCTCTGTTCCCCCTCTCCATCCCAGTGTCCAAATATCCACTTCCAAATATTCCTTTCCTGTGGGAAAAATAATATTTTCCTTGCTGTTTTCCTTTTCTGAGCTGCTGCTCGGGCTCAGAGTGTGATTTTTGCTCTCTCAATCTCTTCTTGCAGGGTCCTCCTGGACTCCCAGGACGACCTGGAGAGCAAGGAATGAAAGGAGATCCAGGAGAACCTGGAAAGGATGTAAGGAATCCCTGAAGGAGCAGCCGGGAGAGGGTGGATTTTGGGAGATTTAGTTTAATATAATATAATATAATATAATATAATATAATATAATATAATATAATATAATATAATATAATATAATATAATATAATATAATATAATATAATATAATATAATATGTAAATTTATTTATATATTATTTTATTCATATAATATAAATATTTATATAATATAAATATAATATATATTATAATTTATTATATAATATATATTTTTATATTATATATATGTATATATATATATATAAATTATATTTATATATGTTTATTCCCAGCATTATAAATAAATAGTATTTATTTCTTCAGATTGGGGTTGGATGGATCCAACATGGATAGATCCAGCAGGGATGGATTCACTCTATCCTTTTTTTCATCCCCACATTAAAAAAAAATCAGGGAAAATATTACCAAGATGCTCATGACTTTACCTAAATCTGATCTAGGAGACTCCCAAAAATATCAATGCAACTCCTCTCCCTCTTCCACCTTTCTCCCTGTGGCCATATTAACAAGAATTGAGGTTTTAAATTTGTAATTAAATTATTTACTTCATTTAATTATTTAACTTCATTTATTGAATTTATTTTATTGAATTATTTAATTAATTTAATTTATTTTTAATTTTATTTATTCTTGCTGTTTATTCTGCGGGGACGGGGAAGAACACGAGGCAGAACAGCAACAGCAGCAATTCCCAAGAATTTGCTGTGCTGGGAGGGAAAACTCATTCCCAGAGGTCCAAAGGGTGTTTTTGGATGGATCCTTTGCAGCCATTCCTGCCAGATTCCCGATTTACCTCGCAGGACTCATGTCCTGAGTCACAGGGAAAATGGGATTGGGAGAAAAGCTGCAGGAAATATCCCCATGGATCCAAACCAGATCTGTCCCAGGCTTTCCCAAAGAAATGGTGTTGCTTCCTCAGCCAAGATGCGGTGGCAGGGAAATAAAAGCAAAATTTGGGTTGCACGTGAGGTAATTCCATTGTTCTAGGTGGGATAGCAAAGGAAAAAGGAAAAGCAGGAAAGCTCCCAGGAACGTGAGCCCTTCTGAAGGTCAAGCTTCAAGTGAAGAGCGAATTGCTCCAAATTGAACTTAAAAATGGGAATTAGGGAGACACAAGAAGGGGTTGGTTGGTCCCTCTGGAAAAGGTGGCGTTAGTTTGGGATCAGCTCCCAGGAAATGGGAATTTTAGAGGGGAGCTAACACATTCCTGCTGGTTTTCAGGGAGATCCTGGGAAGGACGGCCTGAGAGGTGAAAGAGGCCCCCAAGGTCCAAAGGTAGGTCCTGAGTCCACATTTTTGTGGTGGTGCCACCACCTTGGGCAGATCAGAGGGGAGGAAAACCCAATTCAGGTCTCCTTTGACCCCCCAAAAATTTTGGGATTTCAAAGCAGAGCTTCTGGGATGGGCTCGGGAATTGGTGGTTGCACCATGGCCGTGGTCCCACATCTCCACAGAGCTTCTCTTGGAAGAAGAATGTTCTTCAGGAGTCAAACGGGATAAATTTCTGGAATGTTCACAGATTGTTCCTTCCTCTCCTCCTCCTGCAAGCTGGAGAGCACATGGAAAGGGGCGGAAGGAGGAATGGCTTCAGATCCCACACATCAGAGATCTTTAGATGTGGGAACAGCTCCTTCCTTAGTGGAGAGGTTCTGCAGGAAGCAGCACCAGTGGGGACAGGGAGATTTCCTGGTTGCCACGAGATCCAGAACTTTGGAAAAGCAACGATTTATCCAGGGGACGTGCATCCCAAATTCTCCCTGGTGCACCTTGGCTGGAGATGCCATCGAGGCCTTCCTGGTGCCCTTCATTCCACCGGAATCTGTCGATGCAGAAGCCAGATTTCAGTGAAATGAAGCCCCTCAGAGAGGCAGGTCAGCCCCACCTCAGCTGATGTTCCTCACCCCAGGAGCCTCCAGGATGGACTTCCCAAACCCCTGCAGCTCATCCATGATTTCATCCGCTCACCATCCAAGATCTCTCACCTGGAGATGGAATTCCATCGCTGTGGGAGCCCATCCCACTGGAGATGTTGGGGCCAGCCACGTGTGGGGCCAACAGCACCGTGGCCACCTCCAGAAGGGACCACCAACCTCGGGGACACCTTGGCCATCATCCTCATTGGTGTCCTCTGCACTGGTGGCACCGGTGGCACTGAGGGACCTCAGGAATCTTCCCTTTTCCACACATTTGTGGCCAGGAAGTGGAGAAGGGGATGGAGCAAAGCTCTGATCCAAACCTCACTTGGATGCTGCTCACGGGCCAGCCTTTCCCTCCAAAATCCAGCTGCACCTGTGCCCAGTGGAGGAGGGAAGGAGCCTATGGAGCAGGGTGGGATTCAAACCCCTAAATGGGATTTATCCGGGATTACGGAGCGGGCTGGTGGCAGATGAAGGGCCAGATATGGAATTACTCCCCTTCCTCTTCTTGCTCCTCATGGGAATGATGGAATTAATGAAACGATCTTGTTTATTCCAAGGGAGAACCAGGCCCGCCAGGAAAAGGAGTGGAAATGAAGGTAAATAAATCAAAATTAAAGACCACGTGAACGTTGGAAGCACCTCCCTCTCTGTCTGTGTGTCCCCTTGGCCATCTGCCACCTCCAGGAGAAACCTCCTGGAAAGCAGAGGGGGAGAAGTTGGGACCTTTTTTTTTCCCCTTTGCAGGACCTGGAGAAGCTTTTTGAGGCCTACGGGATCAAGGTAGGAGATCCTTTGTCCTTCCTCCTGACCAGGGGTTGTAATTTGGCTTTTCCATCTCTTCCCTCTGGAATCCTGGAGGTGGCATTTGCTCCCCCAGCAATCCCAGGAAGATTAATTCCATTTCCTTTTCCAGGTTGTATTTAAATATTTCTGGGACAGGCTTTTTGCTGCCGTTTTATGGGGTGGGTGGTGGCTTTGAGGCCTCTGTGACAGTGACACTTGGACCCTAAAGCCCCTCTAATTCCAACCTCAACATCTTCCACCATCCCAGGTTGCTCCAAACCCCATCCAGCCTGGCCTTGGACACTTCCAGGGATCCAGGGGCAGTCATAGCTTCTCTGGGAATTCTGTTCCAGCTCCTCTCCACCCTCACAGCCAAAAATTCCTTCCCAATATCCAACTCAAATCCTCACTCAGTTTCAAACCCTTCCCTCTTGCCATATCTCCATATTCCCATGGGAAAAACCACTCTCCCTCTTTTTTAAGTCCCCTTGGAGTTCCGAAAAGCCACAAATGTGGGGTTTTTATTTAGGAGAGACCCATGGATCAGCTCCTTGATCCCAAACCTGAATTTAAACCATCCCTCGGCTGTCCCTGCCCTGTGAGCCCCTGGGAATCCGTCATTCCTTGTTTTGGGGTGGCTGCTCTCGGATTGTCACGCCCTGGGGACAGGAGGGTGGCACTGGGCTGCCTCACTGGTGTGTTCTGGTTCCAGCTGGCGCTGCTGAGGGACCTCTCCAACGCGATCCTGCGGGATGGGCTGGATGAGCTCCTCTGGCACCGGGGTGGCTCCAGGATGAGCAAAACTTCCAGGGAAAACCAGGCAGCCATGCCTGTCACCGTGAGTAGCGTCACCTGCCAGGGGTGACAGACCTCCAGGGAATGAGGGAGATGGGAATGAGCCACCTGAGGCATCAGGGTCACCTCTGTCCTCGAGCGGGTGGCTCGGGAGAGGCCACGGCTGGCAGCGGGATCTGGGATCTTTGGGATAAAAGGATACAAAACATTCATTTTTTTAGTGGGAATGAAGGAATCAGTCAAGATTTGTTGTCCATAGAAACCGTCCCCAAAGCCACCAAAGTGTCCTCGTGCCCTCTGGGAACTTTTGGAGTGGTGGGTGTGGGGATGGGAGCGCTGAAAGGGAAAATGAGGGGGGTCTGGACAGGAAAAGTGATCCCAGGGAGGGACAAGGATTCCTTGGAAGGAAAGTTTGGATGTGGCCAGCAAGGAATTGCTGCCCACTCACCCCATCCTGGCTCAGAAGCGTCACCAAGCGGGACAGAGTGTGCTGGAAGGTTGGGAAAGGTTGGAATGAAGCCACCAGGATCTGGCTCCTCATGGGTGTGGATCCTGGGAGCTCAGGGCTGTCACTGTCACACCAATCCCTTGTTTTGGTGTTGCAGGATCCACTGGTGTCCGACACTTCCCACCGTGTCCCGGCCGGCACCGAGGTGACAGGAGAAGGACAGAGCCTGGAGCTGGAGGCTCTGGAGGTGCCGCTGTCCGGAGGATTCCCTGAGGTGAAAAGATGAAATTTGGGTTCTCTGAGCAGGAAAGATGAAATTGGGGCTTTACTGCATCCAGCTCTGGGCTCTTCCAATCAGGGAGCACATGGAGGTGTCCAGGGAATGGAGCTGGGAAGGGTCTGGAGCCCCAGGAGAGGCTGAGGGAGCTGGGAAAGGGGCTCAGCCTGGAGAAAAGGGGGATCAGGGGGAATTTCTGGCTCTGCACAACTCCCTGCCAGGAGGGGACAGCCAGGGGGTTTGGGCTCTCCTCCCAGGAACAGGGACAGGAGGAGAGGGAACGGCCTCAGGCTGGGCCAGGGGAGCCGCAGGGTGGACAGCAGCAGGAATTTCCCCATGGAAAGGGTGGCCCTGGAAGTGCCCAGGGAGGTTTGGAATTCCCATCCCTGGAGGTATCCAAGGAGCACCAGGAGGTGACACTCAGGGCTCTGGGCTGGGGACAAGGTGGGGATCAGGCACAGCTTGGAACTCCATGGTCCTGGAATTCTTTCCTGTCCTGGGATTCTGTGGAGTGTCTCCTGCCCTGGCAGGGACGGATCCAATCCCGTTGTCAGGCTGGATTGGGATTGTCCATGCTGGGACTGCCGGAGCTCCAGGAGCGGTTGGATAACGCTCCCAGGGACAGGGTGGGATTGTTGGGATGTCCTGGCCAGGGCCAGGAGCTGGGACTGGACGATCCCTGTGGGTCACTTCCCACTCAGGATATTCCATGATTCTGTGACTCCAGAGCCCTCATTTGGAGTAACCAGACAAATTCCAGCCACCTGCATCCCAATTAACTGCTCCTTTTTATGGGAATTAGGAATTTATCCACAATTTGAAGGCTTCTCTCCGTGCTGGGCTTCCTGTAGGAGGCATCTCCTGGGGTTTTATCTCCCTCTGTGGCTGGATCAGGATGATCCGATTCCTTAGAGACTTGGAAAAGGTGGGACAGGACATCCACTCTCAGTCCCAGGCTTCTCCCATGTCCTCAGGTTTTTCCCAGATTTTTCCAACCTGGATTAGGACATTTTAGGGCCTTTGGAGGGGAGGTTTGCACCAAGAGACACAACCCTGGAGCCAGCAAAAGCTGGGATTTGGGATACAGAGACCCCAAAACTGTCTCTGCTGAGCTTTGGGAGCCCAACCCAAACTGGAAGTAAGGATTTGGGACCATCAGAGCATCCCTTAATCCCTCAGGGAATCCTTCCTTTTCCATTGGTGCTGATTGGATGGATGCAAAGGAGTTAAAATTCCCAGATATTGACTGGACAGATCATTGGAATTTTTAGTTTTTCCTCTATTTTATTGCAGTGGAAAATTAAATTAGAGAGAGAATTTCAGCATGGATCAGTGTCAGGGCCTGGGAAAGGGTCCTGCTGTCAATTTTTTCCATTTTTTCCAGTATTTATTGGAATTTTATCAACATTTATCCATCCTGCTCTGCAGGGCTTGGCTGTGCCCCCACCACATCCAGGAGATCTGCAGGAAAACCATTCCCTGGATTTCCTCCAGCCCTTGGAGGAGAGGCTGGAAGGAGAATCCCAGCAGGACACCAGCCAGGTACGTTTTTCCAAGGATTTCAGACCAGTGATGGACTGGGATGCGAAACTTAATCCTGATGTGGCTTCTCCATATCCCTGGAGATATGGAATGCTCCTGGAATGGGCAGGAGGCTGATGGGAGTGACAAAAATCCCTTGGGAAATGTTTTGTTGATTAATTCCACAATTTTGGGGGGAAAACTAAGATAATCCCATTTTATCTGATCCCAACTGGCCACGCCATCCTTGTATTATTCCAGCTTAGAATAATTGAAGAGTTGATGATTCCCAAGACTTTTAAAACGGGGATAATGCAGACTCCAAACAGGGAATTTAAAATATGCCTCCTACTAGAAGTCTCCTTTTCCTTCCCACTTTCCATGGATACTGAAATTCATGGATATGGTCTCAGGATATTCCACTGATATTCCAGGATATTCCTGCTGTGCTCTGGAACATCTGAGTCACTTAAAGAGGAGGATTTTAGGGCCTAGGCAGGAATTTGGAGATTTTCTCTGATCCCTAGAATCCCATTTCCCTCTGTTTTCCTGCACTCCTGGGCAGAGGTTCCCTTCCCAAATCCTGCTCCAAATCCAGCACTCCCCGGTTTGGACATTGTATCCCTGTGGAATTCTTGGAAACACCCAGCAGCAGGACAGCAGCAGCTTTAAAAAGTGAAGGGAAAAATCCCTTGGATATTTCCTCGGAGCTGCAGGAACAGCATCAGCAAGGATATTTTTAAGGATGGCAAGACGGGAATAACTGGAAGAGGAACTTCAGGAAATCCCGCTCTGGTTTATCCAGTTTACCAATCTCTTCCTTCTGCTCCCATCCCTTTATCCCTGCCCTGGGATGATGAATTCCAGGGTTAATCATGGAGCTGGAATCACGAAGGCTCAGCAGCCACGAGAGGGCTCCCGGCTCAAACGCAAAAACCTGGAGCGGGATCTGCGGCTCTGGAGACGCCGGGATGTGCCAAGAGCATCCCAGGGCTCTGCTTTTCCTCCTGGATGCAGCAATTCCCTCTCCTGGGAATGGTTAAGCTGGAGAACCACAGAGGATGGAGCCCAAACCCCTCGGTTTTTAGAATCGTGGAATGGTTTGGGTGGGAAGGGATTTTAAGGATGGTCCCATTCCATCCCCCTGTCATAGGCAGGGAATCTTCCACCATCCCAGGCTGCTCCAAGCTCCAATGTCCAGCCTGGCCTTGGACATTCCAGGGACCCAGGGGCAGCCACAGCTGCTCTGGGAATGTGGAAGCCATTCCCTGTGTCCTGTCCCTCCAGGCCTTGTCCCCAGTCCCTCTCCAGCTCTCCTGGAGCCCCTTTGGGCCCTGGAATGTTCTGGAAGCTCTCCCTGGATCCTTCTCCTCTCCAGGAGAACATTCCCAGCTCTCCCAGCCTGGCTCCAGAGGGGCTCCAGACCTGGGAGCAGCTCCATGGATTTCTCTGGATTTGCTCCAGCAGCTCCTCCAGTGATCCCTGTTTCATCAGGAGCTTTACAAACACAGAACAATTCCCACAGATTTTTTAGGACACTCCAGACTCCCTCAGCAGGACGGGATCTGCATCCTAAGGATGTTTTCCTCACTTGCATTCTGAATAAAATCCCATTTATCCTCATGGGAAGGGAACAGCGGATTCCAAAGGCTGGGAAAGAGCAGCTCCCACACCCTGGAGATGCCAAGGAGGGATGGAGCCAGATTTCCTGCCAGTTTTCCTGCCTGTTTTCCCAGTAGCAGCAGCAGGAATCACGAATTTCCACCTGCTCCAAGGTTCACGGAACCTGGAACAACCCAGGAGCTCCATCCCTGAGGAGCAATTCCTGGCAGGAATTAATTGGAAGCAAAGTCGCTCCTGGGAAGAGCGAGATGATCCCAAATCCACGTGCCCGGGGCTGGATGCTCATCCATGGATGGGGTTTACGGGACCATCCCAAAAAATTCCTGCTCCTCCACCCACGGATTATTTATTTCCAGAGTTAATTTGGATAAATCCCCCTCATCTCCATATGGATAAACCCACAATTGCTCCCTTTTCCTCCCTGAAATCCTGACTTTTTTTCTATTTTTCCCTTTCCTTTTTTGCAGGAATATTTCTTTTCCTCTCCCTCCTACTTATATTTTTCTCTTCCCTCCTTTTCTCCCTTCCCTCTTTTCCTTCCCCCTTTTTTTTTTCCCCCTCTGCCAGTGACAAATCCTTCCTTGAGGAAGCAGCAGCCTCCCAAATTTTCTTGGAAATGCCTCGTTCCTGGAGCAGGAAACTGCCAAAATTACGGAGGAATTACGGAATTAATGGATCCCCATTACCTCCGGCAATTTCCCAGAAAATGGGATCCCGGGGAACATTCCAAACCTCAGCCAGGTCTTGGCAACCTCTGGAATCTCTGGAATCGCCTCCACGAGGATCTGTGGAGCATTTTAGAGCCATTCCCAGGGAAATGAGCAGTGCCTGGGAAGGAGGGATGGGAAAATCCAGGTGGTGCCATCCCACTGTGCCATTTCTGGGAGATTTTCCCAAAAATCTCCCAGAATCTGGGAGACTTTTTTATCCCCAAATTTTTTTTTATCCCGAAAAGCCCACCCCGGATGGGTTTTCCCCTTACCAGTGTATCCTTCATCCCTCTTTTATCCCTTTTCCCCTCATCCTCTTCCAGTGAAGAATTCCAGTTTTAATTGGCTCCAAATTGGGTTTTTTTCTTTCCCTTGTGAGCCAGAAATTTGCTGTGTTCATTATCCATGAGGTGGAATTATCCCGTGGTTTGTTAAAATCCGGGAAAACGGGATGATCATCCCTGAAAACCTCACTGAGCTCGCACTCACCAACATTCCCTGGAAGTTTAGGATTTATTTTCCCTGCTTAAACCATCCAAAAATCCATGAAATTAATGGAGGTGAATCCAGATCTTTGTTCCTTAAAAATAAAAAGAAAATAAAAGGGAATATCCCTAAAATACTGCACCACATCCTGATTTTTCCTACTCCTTTTTATTCTCCTGGAAGTGATTGAGGCTTTTATGGCAAATAAATGCAATTTTTGCTTTCAGATCCAAATATTCCCCAAATATTCAGCTCAGGAAAGAATTGCTGGGAATATTCTCGATAGGAATATTCCCATTTTCCCAATGGATCATTTCCTCCTGCTGCTATGGAAAAGCAGGAACAATTTAGGAGCCAGGTCAGGAATTATTTTCTTTACTTTGTGTGCCATAAATATTCCAAATTATCAGCAAGGGGCTGATTAACATATGGCTGTTAATTGGCATTAATTGATGGTTTATTCCAATTGGATGCTCCAGGCTCAATAAACACGGAGTTGCCTGGGAATGGCCGGAGTAGGGCAGGATTCCAAGTTCCAAGCTGGAATATTTTAGGTGGGGTTTTAATTCTTAAATTCTTAAGGTTGGAAAAGCTCATTTTGGTATATTATTATTATTATTATTATTATTATTATTATTATTATTATTATTATTATTATTATTATTATTATTTTATTATTTTATTATTAGAATTTCATGGAATCACAGAATGGGTCGGGAGAGATCCTAAAGCTCATCCAGTTCCGTGGGCAGGGACACCTTCCGCTATCCCAGGTTATTCCAAGCCCCTTCCAACCCGGCCTTGGACACTTCCAGGAATTCCAAACTCCCCATTCCCTGGGGATGGAATTTTTTCCTCCCATCCAATCCAATTCTCTCCTCTGTTGGTTTTGAACCATTCCTTGTCCATAGATTGGGCGCTGTGTTTCCCTTCCCGCAGGAAAATGGGAATTCCAACAACAGCTCCATGATCCCAAGGCACAGATCCAGGAGATCTCCCAGGCATGAGGGACACCCCACAAGAATCCCATTCCAAAGCCATCCCTGTGATCCAGGAGGAAGCAGTGCCCCTTCCCTGGAGGCTCCATCACCAGCTCATCCCCCCGGTGCTCCGGGAGCTCGGAAATTCCTGCTGGGATCCACGGTGAGCAATGGAAGTGGATCTCTGTTTTCCCACCCGGGCAAGGCCACGATGAATGTGGAAATTTAGGGATAAATATCCATAAATAAAGCAGGAAACAGCTGCTGCAGGAACCATTTTTCATGGACAAAGAGATCCTTCTCCATGAATTTATCCAGGGAAATGAGCGAACAGAATAATCCGGTTTTTGGGGAAAGCAGAACCACTGGAATCTCCTGGGAATGTCGAAGATATTTCCCGGTGGGGGTGGTGATAAACCTGCCCATTCCTGACATGCCTGGACATTCCAGGGATCTTTACCAGAAAATCCCAGAAATGGGGGGGGAAAAAAAAAAAAAAAGTTGATTTTTATAAAATTTAAGAGCAAAAATTCCCATTCCCAGGAATTAAGGATGGAAAATTTGGGATGGTTTTCCTGTGACTGGATTTATTTGAAAGCAGGGAGTGACCCTCACCCTGCATTCCCAGGAGGAATGAGCTGAGCTCATCCACATCTTTTCCAGAAATTCCAGGGTTAAAATGGGACACCTGGAAAGCCTGGAATTCCTCAGGAATTGCTCAGGAATTCCTTGGTCCTGGCAGCTCCCAGATGTCCCATCCAGGCTGGAGCAGATCGGGAGCCTGGAGGCCTCCAAAGGATCCTGGTGATCTGTGGAAACCTCCAGCTTCCCTCTGGGATTCCCCACTTCCCATTCCTCACTTCCCATTCCTCAGAGGTGTCTTTTCCATGGTTCACGGAAAAGTTTTTCCAGCTGCTCTCATGCTTCCCTCTCCTCTTTTTAATCCAAGGCATATCCAGGCCCTCATCGTCCAAGGAGAACTAAGGTACGGAATTCCTTCTGTCCTGCTCTTATCCCTGGGAGGAGACAGCTGCTCCTTTCTCCCAGCCCATCCCATCAATCCCATCCAATCCCATGGATCCCATCCCATCAGTCCCATTCCAGTGATCCCACGGATCCCATCCTATCGATCCCATTCCAGTGATCCCATGGATCCCATCCCACTGATCACATCCCATCCCAACAATCCCATCCCAGGGATCCCATGGATCCCATCCCAGGGATCCCATCCCATCCCATCCCATCCCATCTCATGGATCCCATCCCAGGAATCCCATCCCAGGAATCCCATCCCATGGATCCCATGGATCTCATCCCCCTCTCCCATCCCATGGATCCCATCCCATCCCATGGATCCCATCCCATCAGTCCCATTCCAGTGATCCCATGGATCCTATCCCCCTGATCACATCCCATCCCACTCATCTCATCCCATCTCATGGATCCCATCCCATGGATCCCATGGATCTCATCCCCCTATCCCATCCCATGGATCCCATCCCATCCCATGGATCCCATCCCATGGATCCCATGGATCCCATCCCATCCCAGTGCATTTTTTCCTGGCAGAAGGAGGGAAGTGGCCCAGCAGATCCCTCTTCCCGTGGCCCAAAGGTCAGTGCTGTTATCCCACTTTTTTACTACACATTCCCGGGATAATGATCCATTTTCCCAGAGCTGTCTCACTTTGGAAACTGAGGAATCGCAGGCAAAAATCAGGAAATCCAAGATGAAATCAACAGTTTTGCCATTGGTGATGAGCAGAAATTCCAGGATGGAATCTTTCACAGCTGATCCAAACATGGGATTTGTGTTTTGGGAATCCTCAGTCGGTTTGGGATTCCTCCTGTCTCCTTCAAATTCATGGAATTCTTTAAGATCTGCAGTATCCTGGGATAGGGAAACCCTCGATTTGTCACTTTTCCCTGGCCTTTGCTCCAGGATTATTGGTTTTCCCTCTGCATTCCCATTGTTCAGGATAATTCCCAATCCATTGTGGGAATGCGAGTGCTGGAAATCAGGGATTCCTCCATGGATATTTCCAAAAACCGGAGCGGGGATGAGGGCAGCACCCACCTGGTGCAAAGAGGGAAGGGAAAATTCCTTGGAATAGTGAATTTTTGGGATTGATTTTTTGGGGATTGGTTGTTTTCCAGGGAGAAATGGGAGCTCCTGGAGCCCGTGGAGACAAAGGAGAAAAGGTAGGGATGGGCTTTTCCAGCCTGATCCTTTGGAACTGGAATTCCCTGTGCTGAGAGGGCCTGGAAAGGGAAAGACAGTTGGGAATATGCTCATGGATCGGGTCCAATGGAAACTGGGATTGGCACATTCCCACCTTTATCCCCAAACCTTCCTGGGGGTTTTGTTCCCAAATTCCAGCAGTTTTTCCACACATCTGCCACACTCAGGAGGAAATACGAAATCCAGAAGTTGGATTTAGTGATTTTTGAGGAATTTTCCAGCCTAAATGATGGAATTTTCGTGTTCTATGATGCGGAAGTTCAAGGGGAGGATTCCCGATGTTCATTTTCTGCTGGATAAGAGAACAAAAAGATGGGATGGACAAGGAAAATCCAGCCCTGGCACAAGGATAGGGATAGGAAAAAAATGCCACAAAAATCCTCATTTTCCGCTTTGGGCTGTGAAAATTCATCGGGAGCAGGTGGCAGATCCAGGGAAGGGGGACACGGAATTTCAGGAGAAAGGGAGGGTTGGTAAAAGGAAGAATCCCATGGGGAATTTTGGGTGGAATCCTGGGAGAAAAGGAGGGGGAAGAGAAGTGGCTGGAAAGGGAATTTTGTCTTGCAGGGACAACCTGGGGATGTGGGGGAGCCTGGAGAGAAGGTGAGTGCTGAAATCAGCTCCGAAGTTTATTTGGGAATCTCCTCCAAGAGCAGCCCAGGTGGGGCTGGATCCAGTCCCAGCCCTGGGAATATCGATGGATTAAATCTAAGGAATTACAGAGCTACAGATGAACCTTTGTCCAGCAGGATTAATGACAGAAAAGCAAAAATATGTATTACTATTATTATTATTATTATTATTATTAATAATAATAATAATAATAATAATAACAGTAATAGTAATAGTAATAGTAATAGTAATAGTAATAATATTATTAATATTAATGCTATAATTTTTTATTTTTATACTAATTATATTATAATTATATATTTTAATTTTTTATTATTATTATTAATAATAATAATAATAATAATAATAATAATAATTTGACCAAAAAATCTTCATTGGAATTATTTCTTATAGAGAAGCTGAATCTCCCAGGATAGGACAGAACAGTGCACGATACCAAAGTAATTAAATTAAATGAATATAAATTAATTATTTTGCTGGTTGAAAATTGAAATTAATTATTTTAAAGCAATTAAAATTAGCCCAAAATGCCAATAATTGAAGTAGAGATTGATGTCCCTCACCCAAAAAATTACCTGAGAGGGGTTTGATGTCCACTCTCATCCCATCACCAAATTCCTTGGAATTTGGGTGTTTTCCCAGGTTTTTTTCCCCCACATTCCAGTCAAAGAATCCCTGGGAATCTCTTGCTCAGGGGTGACAATTCCATGACCTCGGAATCTTTTCTTTATTCCCCAGGGCACCAAAGGAGACCGAGGGGACGAAGGCCAAAAGGTGAAGGACAAAGTTGGTGCCAGCCAGCGGTGGCTTTTCCTCCTTTTCTTGGGATCAGTGTCCAGGGCACTCCTGAGGTGTGGCTGGGGACCGGGATGAGATTCCAGGAGGATCACACGGACAGGAATGTGTCTGGCCCAGAATCCTGGGATAGCATTCCCGGTAATATTCCAGAAGGATCACATGGACAGGAATCAGTCCGGCCCAGAATCCTGGGATACCATTCCCAGGAATATTCCGGAAAGATCACACGGACAGGACACCTTGGGAATGAGTAATGGATGCCAGGGAATTTGTCTAACCCAGCGTCTTGGGATACCATTCCCAGGAATATTCCAGCTCCCTCTTTTCCAAAGCTGATTCCCAGCAGCTTTGTCTCTCCAGCTCAGATCATCCAGAGGAGACGAGGGCTCTGTAGGAACCCTTGGAACGGGATCATTCCTGTGGGATTTCAGCTGGATCTCCATGGTTTCACTGGAAGGAGAATTCCTGATTTTTCCTGACTTTCCTTTCACAGGGAGAGCCAGGAATTGGGTTCAGAGGTCCGGTTGGCCAGGCTGGGCCACCTGGATTTAAGGTAAGGCTGGATTTATTTCTTCCTGGGATTTTTCCTCTTTGTCATCCTGGTTTTCCACTGCTGGATGTGGAGCATGGAAACAGCTGCAAAGAGAAAGGACCAAAATCATCCTGGAAAGGCGGGAGAAGGATTTGGGATAGAGGGAATGCTCTGTGTTCTCCAAAGGGCCGTTTCAGAGGGACGTCCTGAGGATAAATTTGGAATCATGGAAGGGTTCGGGCTGACCTCTGCAATCAACAGGGACATCCTCAGGCTGGGAAAAAAAGAAATCCAGGGAATTGTGGGTTCAGCAGGAATGAGTTCCAGGGCTCCCTGGGGTGCTGGAATTCACCACAAGTGTGGAGCTAAAGGCCCTGTCCTTATTTAGCCACGGAAAAGCCCTTTTGTCACCAAAACTTAGGAAGAAAAGAAATCCCAAAGTTCGGTGACAATTCCTCCAGCCCTCAGATCTCCTCATGGATCAGGACTGGAAGTGGTGTCCCAAATTCCATGCAACGGTCATGGGAATTCAAGGAGACATCCCAGACTTTCTCCAGGAGCTCCAGCAAATCCCACCCGATATCCCAATTCCTTGTGATTCCCTCACCAGGGCGAGCCAGGGGCCCCGGGACCTCCAGGAGCTCAGGGCATCCAAGGAATTCGTGGCAATGCCGGCACTCCCGGATCCCAGGGGGACAGAGGGGCTCCAGGTGTGCCCGGAATTCCAGGACAGAAGGTGAGGGGACACCTTGGGTTGTGTTTGTCACCTCAAGGTGACCCCTGTGGGTCAAACCCCCACAATTCCAGGTCTCCTGGATGTTGTCAGGGAAGTGGGAACAAATCCCGGTTGGAAAAGGAAGGGTACCGGGAATGATTAGAACGATGGGATGATCCTCAGGTTCCAGAATAAAACAGGGGAGCTCCTGGGAAGTTTCTCTTCCTGGGAATTTAATGGTGGGACTGGAGGAGGGGACTGGGAAGGAGCGGCCATCACATTGGGATGGCAGCTGGAATTTTGGGGTTATTAATCCCTGGGAATAGAGGGAGGAATCCCAGAATCCCAGGGTCACTGAGGTTGGGAAAGCCCTCCAAGGTCATGGAGTCCAAACCTGCCAAATCCTCAGTGAGTGCCACATCCAGGAATTCCTTGGACACCTCCAGGGATGGATGGGGACTCCAAACCTGCCAAATCCTCAGTGAGTGCCACATCCAGGAATTCCTTGGACACCTCCAGGGATGGATGGGGACTCCAGACCTCCCTGGGCAGCCCCTTCCAATGCCTGACCACCCTTTCCATGAGGAAATTCCTGCCAGTGCAGGGAACACTTGGATCACCAGCTCCTGCTTTTGTCCGGATCAGGGAAACCAGGACCTTTCCCATCTGCGTGTTCTCCTCTCAAAGGGTTTTGTTTTCCAGGGGGAACGTGGGAGGAGAGGCCGGAGTGGATTTCCAGGGCCCGTGGGGCCATCAGGATCCCCAGGAAAAGAGGTGGATTTGTTCACATTCCCTGTGCCTTTTGGGAGGGATGGATGAGGGATCTGGGCTGGATGGGCTTTGATCCTCTGGGAATGTTGGGATAGGAGAGCACGGAGCACTTCCAAAGCAAATCCTCCCCTTTACTTTGTTCTCCTTGTCCTACAGGGAATTCCTGGGACCCCTGGAGCAAAAGGCAATAAGGTCAGTGCCACCCTCCCGGGAAAGTCACGAGCAGAAATCATGGGAATGGGAACAGGAATGGGAACGGGAATGGGAACGGGAATGGGAATGGGAACGAGAATGGGAACGAGAATGGGAACAGGAATGGGAACGGGAACGAGAATGGGAACAGGAATGGGAACGGGAACGAGAATGGGAACGAGAATGGGAACGAGAATGGGAACGGGAACGGGAATGGGAACGGGAATGGGAATGGGAATGGGAATGGGAATGGGAATGGGAATGGGACAAGTCCCTGCCTCCATCCTACTTTATCCCATTCCACCCTCACTCCCATGGTTGCTGGAGCACCCTCCAAAGAGAACAGCAGAAAATCCATGGGATTGAGTCTCCTGAGTCTTCCTGGAACTTCAATCCTGGCCAAAATAATCAGGGATTCTGTGGTGGGGTTTCGCTGCTCTGAGTGACGCCTCTGGAATTCTCTGCTTTCCAGGGAGAAGCCGGCATTGGAGCCGCTGGCCCGAGAGGTCCCCGTGGATTCCCTGGCCCTCGGGTAGGTCCACCCATAAATATTCCAGGCTTGGATTCCTGCAGCCTCCAGCCCCCTTTGGAGACAGCTTTATCCATCACCTCCCTCCCACCTGTCCCAGAAATTCCTGAAGGGTTTCAGGTAGCAAAAATTCCCTTTTCCTCCTGTCCCTGAGAAGTTTTGGTCTCCTTCCGGCAAAGACGGAGTCGGAATCGGAGAATCGTGTTTAAATTGGCTGCTCCTGTGGCTGTCCCACAAATAAATCAGGATTTTATGGCCCAATCCATCGGGAAGAACTCCCCACCTGCTTTTGGATGAGGCCCCTGAGGCGAAACACTCCCCAGAAATGTCAACAGCTGTGGGTAAACCTTGCTGGAGCTTCGTTATCCAAAGGAAACGATGGAATAATGTTTCTGCTCTTGTGGCTCCGGCACAAATCTAAATCCCAGGATCTCGGGTTGCTTTGGCTTCAAGTGGGAAACCCAAATTTGGCCTAAATTATTTGGAATTTGGACAGTTCCTGAGGTTTAAAGGCAGGTCCTGTGGGGTCAACTCAAGGAGGTCATAAAAGGCCTTCATGGACCCTCCAGCACAGCGCTGTCATCCCAATCCATAAAAACACCCGGCACCTGATCCTGATGGAGGGAGAAAGAGGCTGGAGAAATCCTCTGGGCACAGGGAATTCTGCCTGCCCCATTCCCAGCGGGATGGTTTGTGGGTTTGGGATTCCCTGTGTGCTGCATTCCTCATTGTTATCCCCGCCCCTCCGCATCCCCCAGGGCGACGAGGGCATCGTGGGAATGCGGGGTCCTCCTGGAATGATGGTGAGTGTTCCAATATCCCGGAAAATCACGGGATCCACGGCTGGCGAAATCCCCACAAGCCGTGAGAGGAATAAAATGGGATTCTTCCGGAGGGAAATAGAGGTTTGGAAACCTGAATTCCAGTAGGATGAGGGAGTGGAAAATCGTGTGAATTCCTTGCTGTCCTTGTCCATTTGGGTGGATCATCCCAAAGTTTGGAAGCCCTCCTGGAATATCAAGCCCCCCCGCTGCTGTTGTCAGGTCTCTGGGAATTTCAGGAATTTCAGGACAGGGATTTCAGGCTCTTGTTCCGCTGGAGACACAAATGACAGCTGGAATTTGGATAAACTCATTATTTATTAATTATTCAGTATTATTTATTAGGCTGTTATTTTTCATGGAATGAAAGGAAGAGGTGTTTTTTTTTAATAAGGACACGGAGCAATAGGAAATGGGGGAATGGTTTTAAACTGGAATAGCGCGGGGATAAATGGGATATTGGAAAGAAATTCTTCCCTGTGAGGGTGGGGAGGCCCTAGCACAAAATTCCCAGAAAAACTGTGGCTGCCCCATCCCTGGAAGTGTCCAAGGCCAGGCTGGATGTGGGGCATGGAGAACCCTGGGATAGGAAAAAGTATCCCTGCAGATGAAAATTCCCATCTTCCTGCATGTTCCAGGGAATTTAGCAAGCAGGGGTGACCACGGTGGCTTTTCACCTCTCCAAATGTGCTCCCCATCCTGGCTTGGCCTCCAAGGGATCCGGAGATCCCCATCCAGGATCCTCCCCCACCTTGGAGGAACCTCTTGGAGCATCTTGGCTTTTCCTTGATGTTGAGGGTCCAAAAATCCCAGTGGGATTCTCAAAACGAGGGAATTTGGCTGAATTTATCCACCTGCCAGGAGATCCCGGTGGTGGGCAGAGGATTAAAGCAGGAGCTCCCGTGCTGGTTCTTCCAGAGGTTTTTCCATGCTGGAAGCAATTCTGCCTTTGGTGGATGGAGGCTTCTCTTTCCCAACATTCCCACCTTCCCGCTTTCCTCCTGTTATTGTGGATCCTCACGTGGTTTTTGTATGGTTTTTTTCCAGGGTCCAAAAGGCTTCCCGGGTGTGAAGGGCCAAAGAGTAAGAACTGATCTTATCTGCAGCTCTTATCTGCAACTCTTATCTGCAACTCTTATCTGCAACTCTTATCTGCAGCTCTTATCTGAAACTTTTATCTGAAACTTTTATCTGAAACTTTTATCTGCAGCTCTGATCTCTGCACAGTTTCTGGTGTTGTGGGAGCCTTTTAAACCAGTGGGAATCATCCCAGGATCTTGTGGGAAATGGACTGGGAGAGCCCCTGGATCACTTTGGGAATCATCCCAGGATCTTCTGGGAATGGACTGGGGGAGTCCCTGGATCACTTTGGGAATCATCCCAGGATTTCCCAGGAATGGACTGGGAGAGCCCCTAGATCAGCCTCATGTGCTCTGCACTCCAGCTCATATTCCATACAGATTCCATTAAAAGATTTGAGGGAGAAATTTGGGAAATCCTTCATTTTTCGGATGCCATCCCACCCCTGCTGAATCCCATTGGGATGGGAATTCCAGCAGTAATTCCACATTGTGCTGAGTGTGGAGTCAGGAAAACCAGCTCAGCGCTCTGGGGTTTTTATTCATTGTCAGTGCCGTAAATTTGGGTTTTCCACAATATTTCGTGGCGAACTGAAGGTTTTCCAGAGTGTCCAGAGGATCTGACTTCCAGCTCCAGGAGGTTTCAGTGGCTTGGAGTGGGAATCAATGGCCTGAGAGGGAATAAAAAGGGAATAATTCTTTTTTTTAATTTATTTTCCTGTTTTTAGGGTGATCGGGGACTTCTGGGACCAAAGGGAGAACGAGTAAGGACATTACAGATATTTCTGGGGTTTTCCTTTCACTGTGTGGCTCCAAGAAAAGCCTGGATCCATCCTTTCTTTGTTGTGCCAATGGAATTAAGAGGAGGAAACACCTGGATTCTGACCCTCCTTTTTGGGGGTGGGGGGGCGGGTTTCCACCAGTTTAAAT